TCACACATGCACTACACACACAGACTCACACACACACAATACGAGCCCCACAGTTAGTCTGTCCCCCACTTTCTCTTCTATTCCTCACCTACCTTTGTTCCCATGTGAGGGGCACCCCTGGGAACCACACCAATGCTTCAATTCATCAAACAAGCAATTCCAAATACTGCTCTGCCCTCATTCTTGGAGGGCCTTAGACCCACCTTCGGCTCTGACCCCCGTGGTGAGTCTCACGCTGGTGGCCGTGGGCTTACCGTTGATGACGACGTGTCCTCTGGCTTTACGGTGGCGGAGCACAGACTCAGGTGCATGGAAGTTGGCAGGAACTCTTTGGGCTTCTTGCTGCTAGGATGGGGCAGGGGGAGGGAAGACGGAGGTCAGCGAGGAGGGAGCTGGCTGGGGGCAGGAGCGCATGCGGGCGGGTAAGGCTGCAAAGCCTCACACCAGCGTCAATGCTGCCGTTTCCTCCTTAGAGCAGCAGCCCTGGGAGGCCGTGGGAACGCTCGATGTAAAACAGCCTGCAGGGGCGGTGCGTGTAAAGGAGCATGACTGCTTGCCGGTGGGATGCCAGGAAGGCGGGCTTCGCCCCACTGAGCCCCCCGGACAGCTACACTTGCCAGTTTGTGAGCAGCAGCGGTGCAGGAGCTCTTTACTAGCGCACAGTGACGCGCTTCCAGGCCACAACATTGCCACTCTGCGGTACTTTCCCGCAGAGGCTCCAGGGAACGAATAGGGAGGCTTGTCTTTGATGCCCAGGTAGGTCAGTGTCATCACACGGACCTCCACAAACTGAGGAACATGGAAGAGGGAAGTCGGGGAGGTTTGAAGCACGAGGAGGACTCGGCCCTCCGCTACCGACTTAGAGATGGAGCGTGAGGACGGGACGGGCTCTGTCAACATTCCAGACCCACCGTCTGCAGAGGACGCTGCCCCAGGAGCCCTGGCGGCTCCGTGTGAAATGCCAAGCAGAGCCCGATGCGCCTGCAGGCGTGTGACTGCAGGAACCGAGAGTTCACGCGTCGTCTTTGCCACTAAGTCTGTGGGGATTTGCTGTGTAGCAATGGGAACTGGCACAGGCCACGCCTCTAAAATCAGACAGGAAGTGTCTGCCTGTGTGTGGTCCTGCCCCCACTTGTATGTTCATCCTAGCTGGGCAATTTCTATCGCTATAATCCATTCTATTTACTGTTCCACGGCAGGCAAACAGTCCAGAAGAGAAGAAGCACTCCCAGTAAACTGGTCTGGTAACTGCTACTAGAGACACACTTTACAAAGTCCCACAGTGTTTTCCACCAAAACACGCCTGTGAGACACTTCAGTGTCTTGTGATTTAAACATATTTCCGGGTTTCTAGGACCTACTCCAGCAAACTTTCCCCCAAATCGGGCTGTGTCTACTCGTCAACTGTTAGGTTGACTCCCAGGTCACCCCAGGAACATTTCTGCAGCAAAAAAAGGTCATTGGTGTTTTATTGCCCATTGGGTCTGGAGGGCTTGTAAACTTGTATTTTGTTGTATCACACTTCTCGCACAATCAACCCTTTCAATAAAGGGATGCAGAAGTAAAGATTAGATTGAAAATAAAGAATAGTATTCCAAAAATGAGGAAGACGGTACATTCCAAAGATGGCATGATTTACATTCATAAAAATCATCATTTCTTCTGTTAACAATGTTCACAATATATGGAGTTTTTAAAAAAGACTTCTAAAGAGTTCTACAATATGATTATAATTTTAGAAAAAAACCCATCATGGGCTTCCCTGGTGGCGCAGTGGTTGAGAGTCCACCTGCCGATGCAGGGGACACGGGTTCGTGCCCCGGTCCGGGAAGCTCCCACGTGCCGCGGAGCGGCTGGGCCCGTGAGCCATGGCCGCTGAGCCTGCGCGTCCGGAGCCTGTGCTCCGCAACGGGAGAGGCCACAACAGTGAGAGGTCCGCGAACCCATCATTAAAAAAAAAAAAAAAAAAAAAACCCGTCATGTATATAATGCACACAAAAAATATTTAAAAGGAAGAACCTAAAAGATGCTAATCAAATGCCAACAGTGGCGCTTGGCGGAGGGGGCAAGAAGGGATGTTCGTATTTACACTGGGAAGTTTTGCAGTTTCCAAATTTTCTATAATGAATATGCATTGATAAGGCAATCTGAAAAAAAACTAGGCTTTTGTCTTGTTTAGGTTTGGTTTTAGAGTTAAGCTTACCATGCTGATTCCAGTTAGGTTTCTACCATTCTTGCCAGAAAGCAATAAAAGAAAAAATATTCTTAGATTTTATTTAAAGGACCATAGACACTTGAAAGTGAAATTCAAAATGACTTAGATTTTCACAATACTAGTGCCAATCAGGTTTCTAATAAATTCAGAAGAAAAAAAATAGTGGGCTATTTGCAAAGGAATGTTCTTCACACTAAACTATGATGCCCTGATTATTAAACTAAGAAAAATCTGCAGCAATTCTCAGCTTTGGGGGAATTGACTAATGGTGCACTTCTCCTTTTCTGAGTCTCTCTGCCAGTTGAGCTGCGGCAAGGGAGACGTGAAGCCCTCCAGGACCCCGGGGCCAGTCTTCCCTGCCAGGGACACTGGAGCTTCCCCTGCAGGTTTCCGGGAAGAAGGAGCCTACTAGGGTGTGCCCGGCACTACCAGCCCACCTCCCCACCCGCAGACTGGCTTCCTGGTTTGTTCCCCACACAGACGCTGAGCTGTGAGGGTGGGGAGGCAGCCTTTGTCCCACCCACGTAAAGTGCACACCTAACGTAACTCCAGTTCAAACTCCAGGTTTCTTGGAACTGCACAAATGATCTTCAAGTTTATATGGGAAAATAAATACAGGAAAGAATTGTCAAAATAATGAAAAACAAAAATCTTAAGAGAGGCATTCACCTACTAGATATCAAAAGGCAGCTAAATGAAGTCCTATCGTTAAAACAGCACAGTGTCCTGAGTACACTCAGCAGAGGGACAGACTGGTGTCCAGAAGCAGACAAGCCCAGAGTCTGCAGAAGCTTGGGGTATCAGGAAAACGGCCTTTCGATTTGATGAGGAAAAGTGGACCATTTCATTAATGAGGTGGCAACCAACAGCTATGCTGTAATAAAGTACCTTGGCTATTTCAGTAAATACAAAAATAAATAGAAGATGGTTTCAAACCCAAGTGTAAAGAAAGCCAGTAAAAACCACGAAAATATTAGGAAAGCATATGGAGGACGTTCCTTGGGCTAAGAAAGACATTTTAAAGCAAGCCCTTAAGAGGAGAATACAGCTGCTCTAGGCAGACGACGACTTACCCCTGCGCAGGTGATCTCAGGTAGTTATCCAGCTGTTGCGGGACATAGAGGAAAGTCATAAAATGAAAGCAAGTTGTTGACACTTTCAGTCGATTTGGAGCAGTGGTACCTCAGAGTCTCCTGGGTCCTGGGAAGGGACCTCACAGGAGGGGAGGGGGGCACCCTTCCCCGCACCCTTACACATGTGTGCGCGTTTCCACTTCTCTTTGGCAAGAGACAGGGAGTGGGGTGACTGGGTCACTGAGACGTATGTATTTCACTTTTTAAGAAAATGCCAAACCTCTTCACAAAGTGCTGTAGTTTCACATCCCCACCAGCAGTGTGTGAGCTCGCCACCTACAGCCTCGCCGACACCTGCGGCTGGGCTCTCTGATTACGGCCACTCTAATGGACACGTGTGATGTCTCACTGTGGTTTTGTGTTTCCTTAACGATGAATTATGTGGACTCTCTTTCATCTGCCACCCATAGATCCCCTTTGGTGCAGTGTGTTCAAATCTTTTGCCCATTTAAAAATCTGGGTCGATTTTCTTATAATTGAGTTTTGAAAGTTCTATACATTTTCTGGGTACATGTATATGATTTGCAAATAATTATTTGTGTCTGTGGCTTATATTTTCATTTTCTTAATGGTGTCCTTTGAAGAGTGAATGTTGACTTTGATGAGCAGCAGCTGCAGAAACGGGCGGCCTGAAAGGAGTCGCCTCACTTGTGGAGAGTGAGTTCGGAAATGATACAACACACACACGCACACTACATGCCAAACTCACTCACATGCACATACAGCCCCCCACACATGCCAGCACAGAAGCGAAGGACTGTGGCTAAGTGGTCCTAGCTGCAAGGTGACCTTGGGTCTTGCCCCAGCCCTGCATCAACCTGGATGGTGAAGCAGAGGGACGTCCAGTACCTGTAACAACCCTTTTCTTGGTGGGGTCACATCTCTCTTCACTGCCGGGGGCTTCGAGCGCTGCAGTTTGTTGTTTTGCATTATGTACTCAAATGTGCTCAACTTCTTGGCCCCTAGAAAGGAGGAAGGAGGCAAGGGGCAGAGTCACCCTCCATCAGCTGCAGAGTGGCCCGCCCTCCGTGGTCCAGGGCGTTGGGGGCTGGTTCCCAGGCCACTCCAAGCCCGGCTGGCCTTGGGCCGCGGCCAGCAGTGGCCCACCAGCCCTGTCCCGGGCAGGGGAGCCATGGCCCTGCGTCCCTCACAGGCCCGTAAAGCCAAGGTGGACGGGGGAGTGCTGAGCCCAGCTCCGTTTTAATTAAGGTGAGACACCAGCTCTCACACGTGGCGGAAGGACCCCAGGTTGTTAGAAGAAACTCTCAAACATGTTTGTCAATAGAAAAGCACTATTAACGAAAGCATGCTCTGTGCCCGCTTCACTCGTGTGTTTTCGCGGAGGGGCCAAACGTTCCCTGAAAACTAACAAACGGGAGAACAGAGGGTTGACCATCATTTCTGAAAAGCGAAAAGGGCCACCCACAGAGGCCTATTTGCCGCTCGAGGAGCAGACGGAGGGCCGCCTGCCCCTTACAAGGCCCCACAAGGCCCCACAAGGGCCCACTAGGGCCCACGAGGCCCCACGAGGCCCCACAAGGGCCCACGAGGCCTCACGAGGCCCCCGCAAGGGCCCACGAGGTGCCATGAGGGCCCACGAGGCCCCACGAGGCCCCACGAGGGCCCACGAGGCCCCACGAGGCCCGCTCGGCTGCTGCCCCGCGGGGGCCCGAGGCTCAGGACGCCTTCCCCGCCCCCTCCCTGGGGGCTCCTACGAGGGCTTCTGCTTCGTTTGCCTTATCTTTCTTGATTAACTGCACACGTTCCCTCAGAGCCGGTGTCACGCTTTGAGGATGTAAACTTGACCCTGTTTGTATTCTCATGAAAATATTCATTCTTCTGTGTGGGTTTGCACAACCACCACCAAATCCAGACTGTGAGATGCCCTGCATGCCTCCGGCGCCCTCCCTCTTCTGACTGCACTTGGCGTGAGGTGTGGTGATCGGACCGCAGTGATGAAGCGGAGGAGGGGACACGGACGCAGAGCCCCACGCACCCCGCGGCCTGGGAGCGGCGGCCGGAGCCCAGCGCACTGGGGAAGGTCCACCTGTGTCCACCGCCTTGCAGTGCCCACCCGCCGGCTCGGGCAGCCGGAGGATCCTCTTCCTCAGCACCTTCCACGGCGCTTTCTCTCCCACTTGCGGCGCCCGGCTCTCCCTTGAGCCTCCAGCCTGAGGGTTTCACTCGATCGCATGCTGAGCGCTCGCCACTGCGCTGAGCCTGGACTGAATGCTGACTCGCCACTGCGCTGAGTCTGACCCCGCAGAAACTGAGAGGTCGCAAGAGTGTTAAGTAGATACGTTCTGGGGTACTTTTACTGTAACTAACAATAGCTAAATCCCAACGTTTTCCTGGAAATCCATTCTTGGAGGTTCAAAGACCCTAAAATAAACCCACTCGGTCCTGAGTCCAGCATGTCTCCCCCTGTACAGGCCTCCTGTGTGTCCTCATCCTCGGTGACGGTGGCATCACTAGCCCCTGGACACTCCTGTCCTTACATGTCTAGCCGGCCACCAAGTCCTGTGGGCTTGACTTCTCCAGGCCCCTCCTCACTCCTGCGGACTCACCGCATCCCCAACAGCTGCAGAAGCGCACAGAGCAGCGCTTGGGCGCGCTCCGCCTGGACAGACGCAGCGGCCCCCGACACGCACCCCGGCTCCGAGCCCAGGGCCCTGCGGGCCCCGCCGTGCACGCAGGAGCTGGGGGAGCCCTCTGGGGCTTGCCCCTCGCCTTCCCTTCGGGGCCGCAGAGGCTGGTGATGCTTGTGACTTCCAAACAAAGGCTTCACAGGGTGCAGGACAGGCCTCCTCCCCTCATTTCAAAGGCAGATGGAGCCTGCCCCGGGCAGCTGCCGTGTGGACACGAGAAAACCACCGGTTCTCCCTCAAGCGAGTTTGGTGAGTGGAGACCCCATCGCCGAGTTCGATGCTCTTCATCGTTAGGATTTCTGGTTTTTGCTTTTCTAAATCTCCCTGTTCTTTCCCACAGTGTCCTGTTCCTGCCTCATAGATTCTATTCCTTTCTATCTCTGAACACCTTAACTGACCACTTTTTGAACCTCCTTTATCTTTTCTGCAGGCCTTGGAATAGGACTCAGCCCTCTGCCCCTCGTGGGGTGTTTCTTCTCTTCCTGTCCCTTGTCCTTTGTGCTCTGAGCTTGTTTCTGGCGGAGGCTGCCTGCCCGGGGACCCACGTGAACACAGGGCAGAGGCTGGCCAACACGGGGGGAACGCACTCAAGTAGAGGTGTAAAAGGAGCAGGTGACCGAGCAGCAGCAGGCTGACGAGCTCAAGCAGCAGCGTCAGCGCCCCGATGCCCAGGAAGACCGGCGTGCTCGTCCTCACGGGGAAAAGCGGAAGGAGCAGGAGCCACGTGTTCTGGTCGGAGATACCTGTGGAGAGGGGGAGAGGCACACGCGTCCAGCTCCTGCGGACAAGGTAGCACCTCTCATCAGGTGAGTACCTGGTGACAGAGCTTGGCAGTGGGGGAGGGAACACTAGCCTGAGGGAGTGACTCCCTGCCCAGGTGAGCCCCTCCCTGCCCAGGTGAGCCCTTCCCTGCCCAGGTGAGCCCCTCCCCCGCCCAGGTGAGCACCTCCCCTGCCCAGGTGAGCCCCTCCCCTGCCCAGGTGAGCCCCTCCCCCGCCCAGGTGAGCCCCTCCCCCGCCCAGGTGAGCACCTCCCCCACCCAGGTGAGCCCCTCCCTGCCCAGGTGAGCACCTCTCCCGCCCAGGTGAGCCCCTCCCTGCCCAGGTGAGCCCCTCCCTGCCCAGGTGAGCCCTTCCTCCTTGCCCAGGTGAGCTCTGCCTGAGCTAAGTACCCTTGCAGGCCCTCCTGACTGCGGTGGGTATCACGACCCACTTTATGGATCTGAAAGGTAAGGCTGGGAGAGGGTAACTAGGTGCCCAGGTCACAGAGCCTGACCCCAGCGTCCACTGCGCTGCCCCGCTGGGCCCTCCCCACTCTAACTAGAGCTGGAAGGTCAGAGCCACCACCTGGGGCATTTCCAGGATACAGTCCTCTGTGACCCAAGGGGACCTGACACCACAGCCATGCAGCTTCCAACAATTAAGTGAAGAAAAACAGCGAAGGGTCGTGTGCCGGCCAGTGAAGACCGAATTCCAGCTCAAGGGTCTTCACCCCACAACTCAGCCTGGACAGGTGCTCGACCCCGGGCTGCCCTACGTGGCCCCCCAAAGGGAAGGTGGCGGGAGGGGAGGCCCGGCCCGGGCGCAGGGCAGCGCATACTCCTGTAGTGTGGGTCGGTGCGCAGCCCGGCGGGGTTGATGAAGTACTGGGTGAAGATGTACAGCAGCGTGGCGACCATGCACAGCAGTCCGGCCGCAGCTGAGGCCACGGAGGCGAAGAAGTACCTGTGGGAGGAGAGCCTGCTCGGGCGGCTGCACAGCCCGGGCCCGGGAGCCAGGCGGCACGCGTGCCGGGGCCCAGGGCAGCGTGCGCGACCCGGGGTCGCCCCTGCTGAGGCTGTGCCCCAGCCACCGTCCCGCGGCCCTTCCCCCTCTGACTCCCGGCCTTTGGGCTGCTCTCTCCTGCTCTCGGGGTGACCGCACAGACCCACGGCTCCACAACACGCACCTGAGATCTCACTCGGTCCTACAGGAGGCCTGAGGAGGGCCCTAACCCTAACGCTAAGCACCCCAGCTCGCAAGAGGGAGACGGAGGCTCAGACACAGGGTGCGACTGGTCCAAGCCGGCCCCTCCCGGGCCCCCTGGTTCAGACCCGGCTCCCTCCCAGCCACCACCAAGGGCATGGCGGCCGGGGTACTGATGCCAGCGCCGAGGGGCGGGGCCACACTGCCTTCGAAAGGCACACCCGTCAGGGCCGCGTGCTTCGGTTTTAGACCCAAATCACTGCTGCGCTCTGCGCACAAAAGACACGGAGAACGGTCTTCCCGTCAGAACAAATAAAGCCTGGGTGGCAATTCCTGGAATACGGTTCCACTAAAACGCCTTCCTTTAGCCTTTCCGCTGTTATACCTTTAACATTTTCAGTGTTAAACAGTGTCTGTAGTTCACCTGAAGTCCCCTTACGCCTGCCCTGAGATCCTCCCCCAACGCCCCGGATAACCCCGCACAGGCCCCCCCACCCCCCGTCCTGCCGACCCTGCCCGGTGGACATGGGGAGGCGCCCGCCAGGAGAGCCTCTCAGCCAGCTCTGCGCGCTCGGAGCCGCCGTCGGGACCTCCGGCCCCCCCTGTGCTCTGCACGGCAGGGCCACACCTCTCACCCATCCCCATGGCAGGTGGACCTTGAGGTGCTCGGCCAGTTAGGAGGCCCCTTAAGGGGGCACGTCCCGGAGGAGGGGGGAGCGCCGCCCCAGGCCCGACATCCCGGGTGGGGAGAACCCTCACCAGTAATTCCTGCTCCCCACGCAGTTGTTAAGCCACTTGCAGTGATGGTCGAAGCCTGAGACACACTTGTTGCAGGTGCTACAATGCTTGGCTTTCACAGTCCTGGAAGGAAGGTTGGGAGGGGCAGCCTGTCAGAGCCCCTGTCTGCCTACAGGGCCAAGTCCACGCGGTGGGTGCCTGCCCGGGCGGGCACGGCGGCCACAAGGCGCCAGGGCCTGAGGCCCGGAGGCTGAGTCAGATCCCTCCTGGCCACCTACTGACACCCCTGGGGCCCTGAGCAGCCCCGGGCTGTGATCTGGTCGGGGGCAGAGGCCTGTGTGAGACCCAAGGCTACAGCGCTCCTGCCCCGGCCTGGCGGGGGGCTGTGTGTCGGGGCCCCTGCTTCTCTGCAAAAGGGGCGCCGCCCGTCGGCTGCTGGGGACCAGGTGCGCCTGAGCCCAGCCCACCCCCGCGGAACGGCGCGGGGGGCCCCTCACACGGCCGGGCACTCACACGGCGACCTCGCACAGGTAACAATACTGCCTCTGGATGACATGTGCGTGTTTGGACCGGTCGAAGGTCGGCACCGTCCGTGAGTAGTTCTTCTTGAGGCGGACGTTGGCGTCGGCCGGATCGATGGAAAGAACAATCAGGTGGACCAAGAGGTGGAAGAGGCAAATCCCGCCGGTCACCTGGGGTGAGTCAAGGGACAGCTCGGCCTGCGCGGCACGCGTGAGGGGCCTCTGCTCCGGGCGGCCAGGTGTCCAGGCCCCAGGCAGCCACGGGAGCCTGTGCCTGGCCGGGAACGGGAGCGGCCCCTCTGGCACCGGCGTGCCCAGCATAACCCACCCGAGTCCTTTGTCCTTGAGGGACAGAGCAGGGCCCGCTGGAGGCCGTGGCCCCGCAACCCCAGCAGAGCTTCACTGGGACGGCGGGAGAGGCCTGTGTGCGTCTGCGGGCACCAAGCCTGGGGCCGAAGCCGGGTGGTGGAGCTCCTTGGGGCAGGGAGGCCACACTGAGCACGTGCGCCACCAGGAGAAGGAGGGAGGGCTCCAATACCCCCAGGGAGCCTTTGTGGTGAGTGGGCCGGGGCCGTCTGTCTGTCTGTCTCTGTCTCGTTCTCTCCCCCAGCCAGGAACCCCCAGGCCCACGCCCTCCAGGGCTCGCAGGGTAAAATCAGTTCCTCACATCCCACCCTCTCCACCTCCTCTTCAGGGACTGACACACTGTCCCCATGGAAACCAAACAGAGGGGAGGAAGTGTCGGCCTGGCCTCCCCATCAGCCCTGCCCTGCTTCCCAGAAAGGTTCTGAGCCGGGAGGGTTCGGGTTCACAGGTCCAGCTCCTGCGAGGGCGGCCTGGGCGTGGTGGGGAGATGCCTCTCTCCGCCCACCCACAGGGTCTCGTGGCAAGGCCACATGTGCACAGGGTCTACGGTGCCTGTACGGAGGCCCACCGGCAGTGCAGACTCTGAGCAAGGAGGCCCCTCTTCTGGGGTCCTTCCCAGGCTGCACCGCCGTCGGGGTCCACGGCCTGCTGGCCCTGCCTGTAATGCTCAGCCTCAGTGGAGCCGCCCTGGGGCTCTGCGGCGTGTGCTCACAGGCGCGCTCCTGCCTGGACCAAGCACCCCCGCTGCACGGCGAGCCTCGGTGGGGGGCTGGTCTGGCCAAAGCTGCTTGGTCTCCCTTGTCCTCCAGCCTCCAGTGCACACCCAGGGCCCTGGGTGCCAGGCGTGGGGCAACAGAGGCCCGGCCCAGCCGGGGGCGCAGAGACCACAGTGAGGGCGAGAGCGCCGAGGACCAGCCAGGCCGGGGGACCTACACAGGGAACGGGACTGACCGGATCCCTCAGTGCCACACAGGGACGCCCTTCCTGTGGCCTGGACCTCCCTGCCCCTGCCGTCCAGCAGACTGAGCCACGCTCCTGTGCAGGGTGTGGGGGCAGTGGGCAGGTGGTCAGCGGCCAGCCTGCACGGTCCCGTCTGGAGATGCCAGCATGGTCCGGGCTCGCTGGTGCCCCTACGCCCGCTTCCCGAGGCCTGAGGCACAGCTGACGCAGCACTGTGTGTGTGGCTGCTGAGGCGACGGGAGCGTGTCCTGAGCGCAGGACACAGGCGGGGGCACGGCCCGGGACAGGAGATGTGGCAGGAAGTCGCACTGCGGCCCAGGTGCGGCCCTGCTCTGCGGAGCTAGAGTAGGACTGTCCCCATCAGACGCCGGGGGGCGGGGGCCAGGAGGGCAGCTGGGAGGCTGGAGCCCAGTGTGGCCCATGGGTTCTGTCTGCACGTCCACACTCGGCTCCACACGAGACCGCCGCCAGGGAGAGCGGGGGGACGGCAGCCCACGCTCAGACCCTCAGCCTCAGTGTGGAGGTGCCCGGGGGCCCAACCCAAGCCTGACAGGCAGCCCTGCGGAGCCCCTAAACCTGCAGGTGCCCGGGGGATCCCGAGACCCAGACGCGGTGGGCCAAGCTGCCACGGCCCCTCAGACGTCACGCGTCTGCCACAGGTACACGCGTGGGCCCACCTGCCTGCCCGCGTCTGGTTTGCCAGAGACGACCCGGCCATTCCCGCTGTCGTTCACACGCTCAGTGGCCGTCACTGAGCCCCCAGAAGAGAAGGTGCTGCAGGCGGGGTGGCGCGCCCTCAGGCTGCCAGCTTTCACTTGCGATGTAATTTTATCTCAGGAGCGTCTTAGGTTCAAGTAAATAATAAAAAGAACCCGGTCTGCCTTCTCACTTCCCCTGCAAAGCAGGGCCCCGAGCTGTTCTGAGGACGCAGCGGTCCCCTAGCAACTATCTTTGTTCAGTAAACAAACAGCACCGGGCGCCAGCCCAGGATGCCCGCCCTGTCACACGGCTGCCTCGCCGGTCCTGCAGCGGGAGGGCGGGGCCCCCGCGGAGCTGCCCCACCGCTGCCTGGGTCCCAGAGGAGCCCCACCCCGCCCAGTGCTTTCCGCACGCCGAGGGCGGCCAGGATCCTGCGCGGTGACCCCCACGCTGCTCCTGCAGCCTTGCTGACGCTTCCCTGTCTCCACCGGGCCCACGGAATGCCACACGGCTTCCTGAAATCGCGCGGCCCTGACCCGGGACCCTGCCCTCCCTGCTCCTGGGTCCCTGCAGGCGCCGAGTGACGCTGGCGCCCCCTAGTGGCCAGAGCACGGCGCCCAAGTGCTGCTGCCGTGGCCTGAGGAACATCGCTGGGGCAGTGGCGGGTCTGGGGGGGCAGGAAACTGGACCAGAAAACATGTCCTGAAGGTCGTCTGAGCTCTGAACAGACCGGGACGCCATCCTGCATCCACCGCTTGGGACAGGCAGGAGGGGGCCACACAGACTCGGTGCTGAGCACCCAGAGGCAAGGGGCCCGCCAGGGGGCCAGGACTCTGGGAAGAAATGGCGTCCACGTGGGACGGGGTGCACTCGACCCCGGGGCTCCTTGCTGTGCGCAAAGCAGCTAAGCGCTCACAGTGGCTACTGGGCAAAGCACCCGGGGACACTCAAAAAGCCTCCAAGGGCCAAGACTCAGCTAAGCTTTGGGTCAAAAGAGAACGAAGACACAGCATCACAGCCAGCACGTAAGCAAAGACCCACAGGTGAGGCTGAACTGTGTCCCCGAAAGATGGTGAAGTCCTAACCCCAGGAGCTGTGGCTGATTTTACTTGAAGGTGGGGTCTTTGCAGATGATCAAGTTAAGATGAGGTCCTCAGGGTGGGTCCTGATCTCACAGGACTGGTGTCCTCAGAAGAGGAGAAGATCAAGCCTCAGACACGCACAGCGGGACGACCCTGTGAGGACGCGGAGGTGGCGGCATCTAACGCCAAGGGATGCCTGAGGCCCCCAGAGCTGGGACAGGCCCTGGGAACTTCAGAGGCAGCACGGCCCTGCCCAACCAGCTTGGACCTCTGGCCTCATCTTTGTGCCTCTGTGCCTGTGTGTGTGACAGAGCGGGTGCCCATGTGTGTGGCTGGTTTGTGACTTGTGCAGTGTTTGTATATTTGTGTGTGCGTATCTGTGTGTTTGTAGGCCTGTGTGTGCTTGCACCTACGGGGAAACTTATAGCTTCAGATACGACGAAAAGAAAAAAGGTCTAAAATCAATGGCCTAAGTTTCCACCTCAAGAAGGTAGAAAAAACAGAACTTCCCTGGTGGTCCAGCGGGTAAGACTGCGTTTGATCCCTGGTCGGAGAGCTAGATCCCGCGTGCCGCAACTGAGAGTTCACTTGTTGCAACTGAAAGATCCCACGTGCCACAATGAAGATCCCACGTGCCACAATGAAGATCCCACGTGCCACAATGAAGATCCCACGTGCCACAGCAAAGACCTGGCACAGCCAAAATAAATAAATAAATAGATAAAAATCAACCTTAAATGAAAAAAAGAAGGTAGAAAAGAGGAAATTAAAGCCACAATACATTGAAAATAAATAGTAAAAATAAAAGTCCAAAAGCTGACTCTTTGAATAATCGATAAAAGCGATAAACCCTAGGAAGACTGATGCCACTGCTGAGCGGTATCACGACAGATCCTACAGATAACAGGAAATAGTGCGAATAATTTTATTCCAAGAAATTTGACGAGTTAGACAAAATACTAAAATTTCTTGAAAAACATGACTTGCCAAAACAGAAGATGAAACAAACAGAAAAGCTGAAGAGCTCTTTTCCTATTAAGGAAATTGATCATTGCAAACATTATCACAAAGAAATCCACCTCTATGACCTCGAGGGGCAAAAAACGGGCCTCATCTGAGTGAGAGGCACTCCAGGCAGATGCCCTGGTTTTTCTGACTGACTGAGGCTCCGGGGGGCCTTTGGGGCTCAGGGGGGGCCCCACCTCTGCAAAATGACAAGTGTCAACCTTGGTAACTCCCCATGGGATTTTTTAGGTGAGATAAGAAGAACGGTGGTGTGGGGACAAAAGCGTTCGTCAGATGCAAGGTGGGGCGTCCAGTGACATTTCACGGCGTCTGGGAGTTTTAAAGACACTCGGTGTACGCGTGTGAGGTATGAAACAACACTGGCAAAATCTTAACTGTTGCAGCTGAGTACCTGGTAGCTGGGGTCCGTCACACTGTTCTCTCCACTTCTTCAAAACTGAAAGACGCCATGATAAGGGGTTGGGAGGCCCCGCGAGACAGAGGGCCCACTCTTAGAAGCTGGTTCCAACACCCACTTCGCAGCAGCCCAGCCTGTCCGCTGGCTGTAACGTGTGGCGACCCTCAGTGTGAGGGCCGGGACTCCTGGCGGAGTCCCGCGCCACCCTGACGCACACCCTGACGCACACCCGGACGCACACCCCAGTACTCAGAGCAGACGCCTCTCGCCCAGAACACAGCCACCCCAGGTTATCACAGACGTCAATGCCTCGGCTCCACATACCTGACACTCGCGGGGGCACGCGAGCTCTTCAAGTCCTTGTTAAAACCCATCATTCCTCTTGGACAACACAGACTGACCGCTTAGCCATGGTTGGGAAAGTGCGTGGCCCGTCTGCGGCTCCCCCACTCCTGGGGTCTCTGTCCACCCGGGACCCTCCCACCCCTGCTGCCGGCTGGGCACCCTCTCCCTGCCCCAGCACTGGTGGGCACTTGTAGCCCAGACCCCGAGCCAGCGGCTGCCTGGAGGACAGCTGTGGGGTTTCCAGCACTGTGACAGTGGGAGCCGGGGCAGAGGAGAGGTCTGACCGCCTCCAAGGGCGGCCCGGAGCCAGGCCTGCTGGAGGCCCCTCTGGGAGCCCCGCCCCCCCTTAGATGACAGCAATGCCCCCAGTCAAAGGATACACTGTAGGCAATGTATCTCCACTCGTGTGGCAGGAGGGGAATGAAGATGCCAAAGGTGGTGAAGACCTGAATGAGGAACACGATCCAGGCCACGATCTGCAAGCAGTGGACGGGCTGCGACCAGCCGCTCACCCTGGACCGCCGGGGGGGCACAGTCTTTGTGCTCCTCCTGGACGCGGTTCCTGGCAGGAGGAGCCTCGAGATCCTGGCCCAGAACGCCATCTGCAAGACAGGACGGGGCATGGCAGGCCATGGGCTCCTGCCCTCGTGGCCCGGGGACTCTGGGGGCGGGACCCACGGCCCAGCATCGCCCGGGGCCCCGGTGACATCACAGCTGCGGAAAACAGCTCTTGGGGGTGTGTGGCCCCCTGGATGAGGAACGAAGGGCACCCCCCTGCCCCCCACCATGACCGCAGAGCGGGCAGCTACCAGCCCCTCATGGCCTGGGGGCCACTTGCAGCAATGAGTCCGGGGGCTGGTTTACAGATGCACACGCCTCATCAGAAGACTCATGGGATATGGGGGACCCAGTGAGGAAAAGGTCCTCATCCCCGGGGAAACCGAGAGGGGAGCAGGAAAAGCCAGCTTTAGCTGGTGGGATCATGTGACACTTTCATCCACCAGAAATCCTGCAGGTTTCCCCTGTGGCAGGAGAGGCCACACTTCCAGAGTCCTGTGTTTTTCCTTCCACAGGGACAGGCCCTCCAGGGGTGGGAGGGAACCGTGGCCCTTCCGGCCAGTCAGGTGGGCAGGGCCACTGGGAAAGGGAGGGACGTGGCCAGGGTGGCTGTCGGGTGTTTGGGGGTGCTGGAGGGGGGAAGGGTGTTAACAGCCGTTACAGGTGGAACTTGGAGGTCAGAAGGCCCCGTGCACAGCCTTCACTGTCCTCAGAAAGCAGCACACAGAATATACGGCTGATATCAATGTGTCACTGTGGGAAGAGACAGAAATGTTGAAAAATATCCTGAGACTGTTTTTTTCTGTGAGCTGTGACTTCCTCTTGGGGACTGTCCTAAGAGCAGGTTTCAGCTGCTGGCCGCAGCTTTTGGTCATCTGCTCTGGCCCTCTGGATGTGACGCCACGTGGACATCGGGACGCAGCAGCCCTGAGTTTGCGTGGGTTTCACGAGCATCTGATAGCACATTTGTACAACAAGACCAAGGCACCAGGGGTTCAGAACCCAGAAAGGCAGGCTTGGTATTGAAACATGATTCCCAGATGAAAGCATTCAGATGGAAGGGCCAACTAACAGAAAAGATGTTGCCAAAAATCAAACTCCAGTCACGTGGAAGGTCACATCAAGGGATTACTGCACATCTTGAAACAGAGGCGTAGAGACGTGTGGAAGGGATAATTGTGAGAGCAAATTTAAGTGACACAGACACAATGTCTGTCTGTCAGCGTTTCCAGAAGAGGAAAAGGAAGAGGGTGTAAGAGAAGAAACAAAGAAAAAAAGTGAAGCAATGTCCGTACTGCAAGGAGATTTAAGACTTTAGCCCTAAATTATACTCCAAGAACCAGACAGTGGAAAAAAGAATACATCTACAGTGGTGGAAGTGAGAACTTTGAGGACACAGAGTCCTACAGGTGTCCCGGAAGAAGAAACAATGAGATTATCTATGACACGATGTAACTGGCATTTATCAAGTTCAAGTGCTGAGTCTTCTGTCCTGAGATGGACCAGCCAGCCTGTCACTGACGGTGGCACAGGGCAAGCCCCCGGGAGGCGTCGAGACTCGAGCGCACCCACTCACCTTCTCCCAGAGATCTTCTGAGAAGATTTACTCCATCAGATCTGAGAGTCACCCTGACACCCCGGGCACCTCAAGTTCAGAATGCAGGGCCGAGCAGGTGGGTCTTCAGTGAAAGCCGGGGCCCACGGCGCTGGCCGCGCCGACACCCGCCAGCCCGTCAGCAGGCCCGCCATGTGGTGGTGCGAGGTGACACCCGGGACCCCCGACCCTGACCCAGGGCCTCCTGCACGCAGACCTGGCAACCGTGGCCGAAGTCCTTCCTCGCCAGGCCCCGCGCTGGGACGTCGGGATCAGCTGGGTTGTTCTGACCAAGAGGACCTGGGGGAGGAGAGAGCAGATGGGGTGGAGGGGCCGCGGCCCGCGCTCGTCCCGCGCCTCTCCTCGTGAGCCACGCCCTGTGGCCGAGGGGACACGCGGGGTGACGAGAGCCACGCAGGGCCGCAAGCGCTCGTCATCCGGGGAACGTTCACGCGGGGCCGAGCCCTCTGCCCCGAGATGGGACTGTCCCCACCTTCCTGTCCGGCTCCACCTCCCACCGCGGCCGTGGCTCGTCCTGCCGGCTCCTCTCCACTCAGCACCCCGCCAGGCGCCAGGTCCCCCGCCATGGCCACCGCTGCACGGCGGAACTGGAACCCCTCAGGCCCAGCGACCGGCGCGGCCACAGGCTCTCCTGCCCTGCCCGTCCTGAGACACGGCTCCACGCTGCTGCTGCACGCGGACACACATCACACGCCACACACACACACACACACACACACACATGCACACAACACACGCCACACGCAATCACACGCCACACACACACACGTGCACGCACGCACACCACACACACGGCACACCACACACACATGCACACCACACACACATGCACACCACACACCACACATGCACACCACACACATACACGCACACCACACACCACACACATACACGCACACGCACGCACACCACACACACACCTACACACACGTGCACGCACGCACACACCACACACACATGCACACCACACACACACACACACACACACACCCATGCACACACACCACACGCCACACACAGACATACAGACACAGCACACACAGCACTCACCACAGCTGCACACCCTCAGGTTTCTGGACTCGCTCCTCACTGCTCGGTGTTTCCCAGGCTATTTCCTGGGCCGGGGCCCTGGGGCCATCTTCTGCCCCTGCCCACCCTGGTAACAGCCGCCTTCTCCCTCCGTGCCCTGTCCTGGCGCCACCTCCCCTGGGTCATTCTGGCTTCACTACAGGGCAGACCGCTGGTGTTGGGCTCAGGAAATTAGCCCTGTTTGGGGCATGATGGTGCCTGGGTCCACTTTTTGCCCCATGTTCGTTCCTGCATCTTGTTTTCCATCTTCCCTGGGGCTCCAGTCTGTGTTTGGTGCTGGGATGACCCGTAAGGTCATTGTCACCTCCAGGCCCCCGACACGACCATGGCCAAGATTCACAGGCCGTGGTCGCCATGGAAGCAGGGGGGTCCCAGGTCTCCTGACTCACCTGCCCGCAGTGCAGAGCCCCTCCCACCCCGTCTCCAGTCTGTTCCCACCCCATCCACACTGTCCCCACCCTGTCCCCACCCCGTCCCCACTCTCCCCAGAACAGGGCATCGGGCTGGCTGCACGCTGCGTCCTGAGCCAACCACGACCTCTGTGAGCACGTTTTCTGACCGTCCCTCAGCACAGATCCTGGCAGCTTCTGGACCCGTGTCTCACCCGCGTCCCACGTGGTCCTGGACTCCCTGCAGACGGAGGGGCAGAGCAGACGGAGGGGCGAAGCACCCGCCTTCCCCGCAGTCGGACGCGCAGCCACAACACACTCTCCTCACTCCTCTCACGATTCGCAGGTCCTGGATGAGCGGGAACGCGAGGTGCCTCTCGCTCAGCCCAAGCCCACGTGAGGCGAGCCGGGTCTCCCGGCAACACTAAATGGACTCCCAAGCCGTGTCACAAAGCCGGGGCCCCGCCCCCGGTACGCATCACCAGCTCTAGGGGAGGGGCAGGGCGGTGCAGGGGCAGGCCCAAGAGACCCTCAGGAGGGACCCTCACCACCCGTGCCTGAGCTGGAGAACTTCAGCCCTCGGTGAAAAGGCGGTGGGCTCGTGCCCCCGACCCGCTGCTTCAGCAACTCACGCCAGGGGAGGCCAGGGCGTCCATTACAACCTCGTCCTCACACTTGACCCAGGAGCCGAGACTCCAGACCCTGTCCAGGGTGTGGGCGCCTCTGTCTGGGCTGCGCTCCCCCAGCCTGACTCCCCGGGTGCCCCCTTGAAGGCCACGGAAGGGCCACAGCAGGGGCAAGTAGGGGAGCACAGGGCATGTGGACACAGTGCCGAGTGGGCAGCTCGCGCCACAAGGACGGCCAGCCCACTGGCTCAGGGCCTCTCCTCCCCCACCGCCTCTCGCCACATCGTCTCGATTCCTAAGCTCCAGAAAGTCCTGGTTCCTGAGTGTGGTGTCCGAGGACTCCTATCTGAAGGCCCCGAGTGTGGCCAATCACCAATCGCGATCCTTCCTCGGTGGGGACAGGGAGGGTGGACAGGGACATGTCCCCTCTCCGTCCACAGAGGCAGCCTCTCGCAGGCTCCAGCCGCCCGCGCCCCACGCACCTTCCTGGGGAGCCCTACTGCCGGGGCCTGCGGGGACGGCTGGGTCTGGTGCAGATGGACAGAGGCACGAGTGGAGGAGCCGGCAGGTTACGAGGTCCCCTGGGTGGGGCTGGGGGCTGGTTAGGAGAGGGGGGCTCCTCCGCGGGTCAGGGACCCTCTGCTGGGCCGGCAGCAGAGGTCGAGGCTGACTCTGCTGTTGGTCAGCCCTGTGCCCCAGCCTGACCGGCCCCTCCCCGCTCACCTGGTGTCCATTCCCTCAAACTGCAGTGCTGCCTTTGGCCTGACAGCACTGTCCTGGGAGCAAAGCACCACCGGGATGAGGATGCCCATGCTGGAAATCCCAGCTGACCACAGCCGGCAGGGGCGTGGGGGGCCACGGGCCTCCCGGGATCGCCCACCTGGGGCCCCGGGGAATGAGGGCCCCTGCGCGCGGTGCACGCCGTGAGCGGGCCCGGGCTGGCACCTCCACCCAGAACGCACTTCCCAGGGAGGCAGGCACGCAGGACGGGACCAGGCGGCCCCAGGGCAAACCATCAGGCCGCCCGAGCAGGGTGTGACCACGAGAATCCAGCCCGGCTGCGGCGCCGTCCGAGCCGTGAGCTCTGGTGACTGAAGGCACAGCTCAGCCCCGCAGACAGCGTGGCGCTTACTCCGTGCGCTCCCCTCCCAAGGTCCGGGCCCTGGGAGCCCCGCGGCAGCCACAGCTCCTGCCTGCAGCAGGCATCGCCCAGGCTGCTGGTCAGCGAGTCCTCACGGCTCTTCAGAGTGCTTTCTGGTTAAGAGAAACGTCCCCACAGCCTCCTGCACAGGACACGCTTCTCCAGAAACACACGTGAGGCCGGTGACCAGTGCAAGGGAGCCCACACCCTCGGGGTTTGGGGGGCTCATGCCCTCAACACCAAGTGCCTCCCAAGTCCAGCCGGCCCCAGGGCATCGCCCGTGACTCTGAACGAGGCCACCTGGGACTCCCCCTCCGTGCTCACCTCCCAGGGCACCCCAAGTCTGCAGTCGTGAGGGCCTCACGACTGGCCCAGGGCCCGGTGAACTCAGCTGCTCACACTTTGGAGAAATGACCCTCCTTCAGGGGCATCGCTGCTCCACGGAACAGCTGTAAAAGCTACCACCTCGGCTCGCTCACCACGCGGACACGCACAGCCGCGGTCCTCGGCCGGGCCAGCCAGGCCTCTCCACACCTAAACCCACCTCGGCCCGCCCCTGTCCCCAGACTGCTGCGTCGGCCCCTCCCTGACCCAGACCCCCCACCTGGTCTTCACGGAGGGACGGATCAACAGGCCTGGAGTTCGGGGCGCTCACGCCTCTCGGGATAAGTAGCGCTCTGTAAGCCTGCCTGTGCGCACCCGGGACAGGAAAGCGGCCCTCACTGGGAGGGTCTCCAGCCCAGGTGGGGGCCCAGGTGGGCACGGAGGGGGAGTGGCCACACCGGAGATGGCGGCGGGCGGAGCGCGGGGCAGGCGCGGGCGCTAGCACAGTGCCCACCGGCGCACACATGCGCCCCTCACAGGCCTTGTTCTGAGGGAAGCTTCCAGTAGAAAAGCGCCGTAGACAACGGACGCTGGCCATGCTGCACCGCTGCCCAGGCAGCCTCCCGGAAGCAGCCTTTTGTTTTCTCTCTCCGGGGAGTCAACAGTCCCCCATGAGGCCTGCAGCCAGCATCTGGCCAGGGTTGCCCTGAGGGCCGCCCACCCCCGCCCCAGCCAGCTGGGCAGTTACTCTGACCAGGAGCGCCTGCGGGTCTCGGCTGGGATCCCGCCGGCTTCCTTAGGCAGAGGGCCTGGCACGGAGGCCACAGGCCCCCCGGCTTCACGGCCGCGACACCCCCGGGAGTGGCCTGAGCCCCGGCAGGGTCTGGGGTGAGGGCAGGTCACCTGCAGGGCCCCACTAACACCTACTACAATGTGGATGAGCCTTGACAGCTGTGCTGAGAACAGCCAGGCCCAAGAGGCCGCAGAGTGCACGACTCCACCTGCGCACCACGCCCAGGGCAGGGACGTCCGCGGAGACCGAAAGCAGACTGGTTTCCAAGGGCGGGAGGAGGGGGGCCTGGGGGTGGCGGCCAATCGGTACAGGCTTCCTTTCGGGGTGATGGAATGCTCCGGAATTTGAGAGATGGTGGTTTACGAAAACATGGGGGCCTCGGTCGGAGGGCCCTCCTTCCCAGCGGGCGTGCAGCTCCAAGCGGCAAGGCAGGCTCCCCTGTACTCCGTGGGCTCCAGACTCCGTCCGGCGAGTGCGGGTCCCTGGGACACCCTGCCGCGCGCACCAAGGCACGGGTCCGGCCTCCTGTGTTCACAGCTGACACGGCCATTGTGGTGGAGACCACGCCCTCAGGGGAGTCTGGGCTCCAGGGACTCATACTGTGTCTCGGCGGCCTTGCCCTCGTGTGCTATATACCCCGTGTCACACTGGCGTCTACTGGAGAACTCCGGCTGCGGGCCAGGGAGAGGCCACGCCCGCGGGGCTGCACCGTGGGGACCCCGCCTGGGATGCGCAGGGGTCCCGGCCTCCTGAGCCCTGCTGGGGGCAGAGCCCACCGCCATCCCAAGGGTGGAAATCCAGATCCTGCCCCTCCCGGCCTCCCCACAGCTGGGGCGGTGGCTGAGGTGGGGGCTGGGGGGGCCTGCAGGGCAGTGGAGGGCCAGCCACAGGGTTCGGGCCCGGCTCTGCGGCCGGGCTGCAGCCCCGCGTAGGTAGGGAGGACGGCTGCCCTCCAGCCCGCCCCGGGCGTCTGCTCCGTACCAGCCCTGCTGATAAACTCATCTGCTCACAGCAGCCACAGCTGCTCCTGACGCTTCGCCTGTGAGATGCCTTGTCTCCCCTTTCCCCGGTGCTCACGGGGATCCTCGTCTGTCCAGACAGCGAGGCAGCCAGCCCTGCTCCCTGGCCTCTCGGCCACACGCCTCTCCCAGGACTGACCCTGCCCCGGGAGGTAACGGAGGCTCCGGCTTTATGTTTCACGGCGAGGGAACAGAATGGGAAACTGTGCGGGGATAGGCGTGACCCCGGACGTCATTGCGGGGCCAAGAACCGGGCCAGATGCGGAGCAGACCGCAGGAGACGGGGCTAGGAAGAAGGGATGCCATCCAGCTCGCGTGACAAGGGTTTTGACTAAGTCACGCAAAAGGGGACACCTAGCAGTGCTGTAAGTAACTACGCGTGATGACACTCTTTGTGTATCTTTTTATTAAGACCTGTATTTACATTCTGCAAATACAAACAGGCTTCCAGTAAACACATCCAGAACAAAGAGCGTTTTCGGACACTTAACCCTGCGCCACGGCCAGCAGGACAGGCCAGCTGTCAGCAGGGGGCGCCCCTCTCAGCACAAGGCTCAGAGAACGGGGACGCTGCCCTCACTCCCAACCCCGACGCGGCCCCCGCCGTGACCCGCCTGGGAAACGTGGGGACGTGGGGCACGGGCGGGGCGGGAACGTGTAGGATGCCGCAGGGAACAGAGACAGACGCACCCACGTCTGCCTCCCAAGGGCTTCTCCCAGAGGACGCGGGGCAGACAGGTGCGTCCACACAGGCACAGAGGAGGACTTCACCGCCACCGAGAAGCTCAGAGACAGACCACAGCAGCTGCCCGGCATCTGGTCACACACCCTTTACGAGTGATCTCCAACTCTTCAGGACGCACAGGACCACTCACAGAAACGCTGCGTCCCAGCGCGGCTAACATGACAACAGACGAGTCACCACCTCCCGGGGCTGCTTCCCGCACGCCAAAGGGGACAAAATGAAAGTCTTCGTCTCATGACAAAAACTGTACATGCAAATAAAAGCTTACAAAATAAGAAACAACCAAAGGCCACCTACGGGGCTAGCTCTTTGTGGAGGCTGCGGGCTCTGGGGACTGAAGAAACTCGTACGGGTCGTGGGTCCCCTCGGGCTGCTCCCCAGCACTGAGGCGAGAAGGGCTTCCTGCAATCACGGGAGAGAAGGGACGTGTCACCCCAGGGTCTGCCACACGCACGCAGCTCACGACCCTCCTTCAGGGGCATTGCTGCTCCACGGGACAACTTTAAAAGCTACAAATGCACGTGTGCTGGACACGAACGTCCGCGTGGCTGCAGCCAGCTGAGCCCGGGCCTCAGCCCCGAGCCGTGGCTCCCAGGGATGGGCCGCCCGATGGCCCCAGAAAGGGGGCCCCGAGCCTCCACGCAGCAGGGCTGCTGCTTCTGCAGGAAGGAAGGCTCCTCGGCCGGGGGCCTCAGACAATCCCACGCTCCGGAGGAGCCCCAGTGTCACCCTGAGTCCACCAGGACCTCGGGGCCCTCATATCTGGAGCTGCCCCAGGGTCACCTGGAACCTCCTTCACATGCCTTTATCACAAGGTTAACGGGACCAAAATGCTGGTCCTTAAGACAGTTTTAGCCAAACCTCTACAGGTGATCACTCATCGCCCCCTCCCCCGAACGCCAAGCTCTGTTACACTGAAAGAGTAACTCAGTGTCGGTATCTGGGAACTGCAACAGCAGGGTGAGGACTCATCTAGCACGTTCAAGCGGCCAGGAGACGCACTGTCCGGGCGGGGCCCCGACACACCCACCCACCCTCACTGGTTCACCAGGGGACTCCCAGGCCAGGCAAGGTCCTGTGCTCTCCCCACACGAGGGTCCTGCAGGAACACACTTGTCCACACGGGGCTTCAGGACCACAAGTAGGAACAGCAGAAAGAAAGCAACGTTCCCAATCCCTCACTCTGGAGGCTGGCAGGTCCACGGCTGGAGGCTCCTCCTGACACAGGACCTGCAGCACCTTCCGGCCAAGCCCCCAGATCCCTAGACTGAGTCCCACCCAAAGCCTTCACCTCAGTGCAGCCGCCTGGCCCGGGAACCCCAGGGGCCAGGGCCCTCCCGGCTGCGGCCCACGCCACTCTGCACGAGGCGGCCTCACCCAGGTGGCGCTGGTCCCTGTCAGAGGCGTTGGACAGGGAGCTGAGGTTGGAGGACGGCCGGGAGCCCCCACGCTCTGCCTGCGCCTCCTGCAGGTCCTGAAGGAGCTTCGTGGTCTCGTCCAGGCTCAGGTGGCTGTCGTCGTGGTCCAGCTCCTTCTTCACTTTCCCTGCACACACGGGACGATGGGATGTGGAGGCCGGTCAGCCCGTCCACCCGCAGCCACGTCACCACACGCACCAAGGACGACAAACGCCTGGCTGAGCCTGCCCTGCGCCAGTGTGAGGGTGGCCTCTTGGGGGGTCAAGAGCCGCACACATGCTGTGGTCACCTGCGGCCCAAGCCCCCCGAAGGGCGCGGCCTAATGGTGGGACCACGTCCGCCCTGCACTGACCTGGCTCTGTACCCTAAGACGGCCTAAGAAAAACCCAGACAGGGCCCGACGCTCCAAGCTGCCTAACGACCATCGGAACAGCGCCCGGCACGTGCAAAGTCGCCGACTATATCCAGCGCATCCCACCAGCCACGCCCATGCAGGCAGAGAAACGGACACGCAGCCCCACCGGGGGAGAGCCCTGCGAGTGAGATGCGGGGACAGAGATTAGGAACACGCACCGCGTGTTCCAAAGGCAAAGGACACGTGACCGGAGGCAAGAGGGGGACGACGCAGGAAAAGTCGGTGGAGCTCCTGGGGGTGAAAAGAATGGCAGCTACGGCGAGCCCAGGAGACTGACAGGTCAGCAGAAGGGCGCCCAGCGCCCCCAGGACTCCGCCCGCCACGGCCCGAAACCAAGCAGAGAGCAGACCAAAGGCCGGTGGGCAGAGTCGGGCTCAGGAGGGTGCTGGAGAACTACAGCCAGACTCCCCACATTCAGCTCCAAACCCCCAGGCCCAACGACGAAACGCAACCCGTGAAGAATAAACCTAAAGGAGAACCAACCAGGGCTGCTGTGACCAAACTACCACAACCAGGTAAAGTGGAGAAAGCCTTGGACTCCGCGAGAGGAAAGAGAACAGTTGTCAGAAGCCAGACCGGCCCCTGGCTGGCTCCCACCGCCTGAGTGACCGAGGGGGCGCCGTGCCAGACCGTCTGGGCCACGGTGTGCTTTGTCCTGGGCCCCCGCCTTCCTGCTGGGAGTCTGGGGCCGGGGCTGGGCCAGGCAGAGGGTGCCGGTCGTCACAGCTCCGGCTGGGGGCTCGTGGGGAGCGCGCTGGCAGCTGGGGCCGGGTCTCCCGCAGCAACACCCCCCCAGGCCCCTCCGAGTCCTGGGGTCCTAAGGAATCACACCTGGGGGTGGTCCTGGGGACCCCTGAACCGCTGGGAAACCAGCACACAGCCAGACGGCAGGCTGGAGCGCAGTCCTATCCACAACCGCGCTGAACACCAAGGGTCTGACGCGCTTCAACCAGAAGCAGGGCCTGCCAGGCTGCGTGACGGAGCGAGGCTGCCTGACACCCTTCACGACGGGGTGACGAGGTCCACTTCCAACAGCAGGCGGGGCGCGGACCCAGCCCCCAGCCGCAGGCCAGGCCATTCCTGCTGGGGCTCTTCTGGGGCTCCAGGGCGGTCAGCAGCACCTCTGGCCTCTGTCTACTTGAGGCCAGAAGCACCAGGTCCCAAGTGTGAGGCCAAAGACGTCTCCAGAGGCTGCCACAGGTCCCCTGGGGGAACTGCCCTGGCGAGACCACTGAGGGGACGCACAGTACGTCCAGCAGGTCTGAAGGGGGAGGGGAGGAGACGCACCATGAAAACCACTGGCCACGAGAGGCTGGGAGGGCCTCATCGGCACACAAGAGCCGAGGGGAGCACAGAGGCATCTTCCCCGACGGGGCCAGCCCAGTGGGCACACGTGGACGACGGTAGGGAGCGCACCACTGCACTAACCGGGGGCGGGACCCCAGCAGACGATTCCCAAGGCGGGCCCCATCTGGAGTCACCTGGGGGGTCCTGAGGATGGGGGTCTTCATCGTGCGGCCAATGGGCAGGGCCGAGCCACCCTGCCCGCAGGGAGGTGCCCGGCACAACCTACCCAGACAGCCGAGCACGGAGATGTCCAGAGAGACGTCCGAGTAGGACTTCATGGCCATGAAGTCCAGGGCGGGGCCACCATCCCCGAGAGGGTCCCCCGCCTGCAGGAGACAAGCGATGTGAAACAGGAAAGGAGAGGCAGCTGACACGGATGTAACGGCCTGCCAGCCACGGGGAGGCCAGGCCTGTCGCGTCGTGTCCACCCGAAGAGCCCACACCGCAGCCCAGGGGTGAGCTCCCAGTGGATGCCTGTACCTGGACCAGCGATGAAGGCGGCTGGTCTCTGGGGACCTACAGGCGCTGAGGGGACCTGAGAGAGACCCAAGACCTGAAGGGCCAGGCTACCTTCCAGGAACTTCACAGATAACGCGGCAGATTCCAGAGCAGCGCACTCTCTTTCCTTCTCTGGGCTGACCCATGGAGGCCCTGCTGCGGGCCAGAGCGGCCGGGTCCCTGCCCAAGGCAGCCTGCAGCCCATCCCAGCTCCTCGCAGACTGTGTGAGGCCGGCACCCACACGTGTCTGTGTAACCCAGACGGAGACCCGAGCAGAACCCTGGCTGCCCCGTGCACCCAGGGGAGATGCCCTTGGCACCTTCTCCAATTCTGCCCATCCAAGGGCCCCCACCTGACAGGCACCTGACGCTCTGCCCTGGGTGGGCCCCCCGGTCACCAAGGCCAGGTGACCCCTGGAGTCCAGGCCCCCACACCCTGCCCAGAGTCCTGGCATCTCTGCCCACATGGCCGTGTGCAAAGCTGGGGGCCACAAGTGCTCCAAGTCACCCCAGGGCAGGATGAGGAAACCATGGCCGGACCGCAGCGGAGCGTTTCCTCAGAGAGTGCCCGCCCCGGCGCTGGCGAGGCCCCAGGACGCCCCAGCTGACAGCACGTGTCCGCCGGCGAGCCCACCTTCTGGGAGGACCGGAAGACCCCTGCTCACCCTGCGGGCCGCCCCTCCAGCCCGTGAATCCCTCTGTCCAATTTGGAGGAATGTGCTGTGCCCACACCCTCAGTCCAGTCATCACAGTCGGGATGGGGGGACCACCACTTAAGATTCCTCATCAGCAACGCAGCCAGTTTCTAAATAAAATATCTCAACCACTTCAAAGGCCAAACACAACTGTCCTCATGGGAACCCAAACAATTAGGTTTCTACTAACTTGTCCACGAGACGCACCTTTACTTCATCCAGAGGCTTCGTCGGAACGCTTCTCCTCTGCAAAGCAAAAGAGACAAGAACCAGTGTTCCACGACAGTTTTACACAGAACCACTCATCCAGTCGCCCACGCATGAGGTGGACGCGGCTCATCCGCTGCTCCGAGCTGGCCCTCGTGGGGTCGTGCTGCACTGTGAACCACACGGCCCGTGCGGCCCGGCTCACGAGACCACCCTGGGGTGAGGTGGACACCAAGGAGAGCACCCCAACCTGCGTCTGCATCCCTGGGGGCAGAACACCAAAGAGGAAAGTCAGACGTTGGAAAAACAGCCAACGGTTTAACCTGGAAAACGGTTTAACCCAGGAGGTAGAGAGATCCAGAGACCAGCTGGATCCCGACAGAGCACGACGCCTGTGGTACCACCGCCCTCGCAGGGATGGGGCCACAGGCCAGGCACCCTTCTCTCTGGCCTGCTCAGCGCCAGGCGAGGGCGCACACTTGACCACCCCTGTGACCACCACTCTGACCAAGCACAAAGGTTGCACTGAGCCGTGTCCTGTGACCTGGCAGAAGCACTGTGTGAAACCACCCTAGTTCTGTGGATGAACCTAGAAAGTCCCTCAGCCTGCACGCCCTCCATCCGCGATCTTTTGCTCAAGATGATGTTTCTGAGACTCGCTTGTGTTAAAAGCTTCACAACTCTTAAGCAGAAAAATAAATACTGCCGTCACTTTAACATCTGTTTCCTCACATAAACTTCTGCTGACGTATATATTTCATTATTGGATGTTATTTATGCTTTGGCACATCTAAAATTATGCCACTCTGAACACAGTTCATTCAGAAAATTGATCAAACTGTTCTTGCCTTCTCTGTCATAAATTGGCCATAAGTGGGTGAGTTTATTTCTGGGCTCTCTATTCTGTTCCACTGATCTGTGTGTCTGTTTTTGTGCCAATACCACACTGTTTTGATTACTCTATCTTTGTAGTACAGTCTAAAGACTGGGAGTGTGATACCTCCAGCTATTCTGTCTCAAGATTGCTTTGGCTATTCGGGGTCTTTCGTGTTTCCATATCAATTTTAAAATTATTTGTTCCAGTTTTGTGAAAAATGCCACTGGTATTTTGATAGGGATTGCACTGAATCTGTGGACTGCCTTGGATAGCATGGCCGTTTTAACCATATTACTTCTTCCAATGCAAGAAAGGACAGTCTGTGCAACAAGTGGTGCTGGGACAACTGGACAGCTACATGTAGAAGAATGAAATCAGAACACCACCTAACACCACATACAAAAATAAACTCAAAATGAATTAAAGACCTAAGTGTAAGACCAGAAACCATAAAACTCCTAGAAAAAAACATAAGCAGAACATTGATATAAATCGTAGCAATAGTTTTGTTTTTGGATCTGTCTCCTAAAGCAAAGAAAATAAAAGCAAAAATAAACAAATGAGACCTAATTAAACTTAAAAGCTTTTGCACAGCAAAGGAAACTATAAACAAAACAAAAAGACAACCTACTGAATGGAAGAAAATATTTGCAAATGATATGACCAATAAGGATTAATATCCCAAATACATAAATAGCTCACACAATTCAACATCAGAAAAACAACCCACCCAATTAAAAAATGGGCAGAAGAATTAAACAGACATTTCTCCAAAGAAGACTTACAGATGGCCAACAGGCACATGAAAAGATGCTCAACGTCGCTAATCATCAGGGAAATGCAAATCAAAACCAAAATGAGATCACCTCACACCTGTCAGAGCGGCTGTCATCAAATAACAAATGCTGGAGAGGGCGTGGAGAAAAGGGAACCCTCCCACACTGTTGGTGGCAATGTACATTGGTGCAGCCACTATGGAAAAACAGTATGGAGATTTCTCAAGAAAACTAAAAACAGAACTACCACGTGATCCAGCAATTCCACTTCTGGGTATAGATCCAAAATGTATACAAATTCGAAAAGATACGTGCACTCCAATGTTCATAGAAGGTTACTTATGTGTGCCAAGACATGGAAGCAACCTACGTGTCCATCAACAGATGAATGGATAAAAAAGATGTGGTGTGTGTGGGTGCGTGCGTGTGTGTGTGTGTATATATAGATATATATATATCCACACACACACATACACACATATACATACAACGAAGTACGATTTAGCCATAACGTAGAACGAAATTTTACGACTGGCAATAACATGGATGGACTTGGAGGATTTTATGCTACGTGAGATAAGTCAAAGAAACACAAATACTGTGTGTTATCACTTATATTTGTAACCTAGAAAACACAACAAACCAGTGAATACAACAAAAAAGAAGCAGACTCACAGATACAGAGAACAAACTAGTGGTAACCAGTGGGGAGATGGAGGGGGGAGGGGCAAGATAGGGGAGTAAGAGGTACAAACTACTCTGCACAAATAAGCTACAAGGATGTACTGTGCAACACGGGGAACAGAGCCAATACTTTATAATAACTAGACATGGAATATAAACTTTAAAAATTGTGAATCGCTATATTGTATACCTGAAACTTACATAACATTGCACATCAACTATACTTGAATAAAAAAATGATAAAGAAATAAAAGCACAATCTAGACTTCACACACAAAAAAGAAAAAAGATATTTGAAGAATAAAGGCTGAAAATATTCCAAGTTTGATGAAAACTATACACCGAGAAGCCCAAGAAACTCACCAAATGTTAAGCAGAATAAAGACAAGAAAAGCACATGAAAAAACACCAAAAGTAAACGGATGTAAGTCAGTTATAGAAACTATAATTTTCAAGTATCTAGAGCAACAGGCAGCACTTTTTCTCCAAATGGCCGGAGAGCAAATATCTGAAGCTTTGTGGTCACGCACGGTCTGTAGCACGTTTTTCTTTTTTTCTTTTAAATCTTCAAAAACTGTAAAAAACATTATTAGCTTATGGGCCCAAATTTGCCAATCCTTGATCTTGACCAAAAAAAGACACATTAAAAACGGAAAACAAAGATAAAAATGACTGCAGACACTTCCTCAGAAACAAAGTGAGTAAGCGACCATTTTAAGTAGAGGCTAAAATGTCACCCTATAATTCCACACCGGGAAGGTGACTTTCAAAAACGAAGGAAAATGAAGACACTTTTCAGATAAAGAAAAAGCTGAGTAAATTCGCAGCCAGCAAATCTGTCCTTTAAGAAACTTCAAAGGAAAGTTTTCAGGACGAAGGAAAGTGACAGCAGATGAAAGAAATGTAGGTCTAGAGAGTGATGGAGAATACGTGCCAGACAGAGAGGAACTCTGTAAGTTTCTCTGAAAGATAATTGACTAAAGTAAAAACAAAGAATAAATAATAACCAGTGAGGGAGAAACAGCCACCGACCACCTAAAAACAGCACATCCCCTAGCGCCCAGTCTGGCGGGCACAGGAGTGGCCCAGCGCACCCACCTGCCTCAGCTGGAAGAGCATCCGTGAGTGGTCCCCGCCCGTGATCTGGTCCAGGAGGTCATCCACCAGCTTCTTGCTGTAGCTCCCGGCATCCTTCACAAACTCCTGCAGGCTGGGAAGGGCCGCGAGAAAACAGGCTGGAAGCCGCCCTCCGTGCCCACGCCCCATCCTGGCTGCACGCCCCTCAGACACGCCCCCACAGGACAGGCTCTCGCTGAGCGCTACAGCCCTCCAGGTGCAGCGGCTTGGGGAGTGGAGAACAGTCTTCATCAGAGCGGCCCGGGACCCAGAAGAGTTAAAGAGCAAAGTGAAGAACACGTCTCCGCATCCCGATGCAGCTCACGCTAGCTCTCACAAAAGCAGCACACTCCTAACTGCGCGTTTTGGAGTTAGAAACACAGGGAGACTGAGGAGAGCGTGCTGCGGAGGGCTCCACGCTGGGGAGCGGGGCGGCAGGTACGGGAGCAAGACTCCCCACGTGCACCCTGAGTGTCATTTTGATCTCTGGACCGTGTGAATGCTTGAAAATCCAAAACAAGACGAAACAGCAAATTTGGAAAGGAGGCCGGGAACAGAACCCACAGCCCAAGCCGCAGAGCCAGGCCAAGTCCCAGCAGGGGCCCCGGACTGCAAAGGCCCTCACGTGGGGCAGGGAGGGCCGCGAGCCCGGAGGGTCTCCACCAGGAGCCTTGGGGTGGGGAGCAGGGCCGAGCAGCAGCTCTCCCGGGGGAGAAGGGGTGCTGGCACCGCGAAGGGCGCGGCCTGCTTCCTGGGCTGTTCAGGCGGCCCGGGATCCGTAGGCCGTCCAGGAGCTCGTGGAAGGTCATATATTGAGCTCGTGGGGGCGAGCTCGTGCCGGCTGCACTTGCTGCCTGAACCATGGGGAGTGGTCCCCCCAGAGCTGAGCCGAGGAGAGGGCCAACCACTCGGGACACGAGCCTCCCACCTGCAGCTTCCTCCTTGCTTCTTCACCTTCACTTCTGTTTCCGCACAAAAATCAGGGTTAGGAATTCATTTACTGTGTTAGGAGCTAACTGATTTCTTGTTGTGTGCTCTTCAAAGATATTCCATATTCTCTTTGGAATAAAACAAAGATCTGATATGGGAAGACTCTATTTCTCAGAGACTAGCAAAATCGCTACTTTCCCCATAGAAAGCCACAAAAATTCTAAAAGAATGATCCACTTTTACTTTGTCTCAGAAAACAAAAAATACGAAAACAGCCCTATAGAAATGCAATACTCTATCCCTAATTTTAATCACAGCTGGGGCTGAACCGCGTTCCCAAAACTCACACGTTGAGGCCCTGAGCCCCTGTACCCCAGAACGTGACTATTTTGAGATGCGGCCTTTAAAATTTGAAGGTGATTAAGTTAAAACCAGGTCTTTGGGGGGGGCCTAACCTTGGTGTCCCCAGAGGAAGGGAGCTCAGGACGCAGATGCGCAGAGGGAAGCCGGGGGAGGGTGCGGGGGACGGCTGTCTGCACGCCGGCGAGAGGCCCCGGGAGGAGCTGCCCTGCCCGCACCTGCACCTCGGCTTCCCGCCTCCAGGACTGGAGACCGTGAGTGTGTGCTGTGCGAGCCGCTTTGTTCTGGCGGCCGGAGCCGTCGCGCAGCCACGAGACCCTCTTTAGGACAGCCGCGACCCCGGCTCCCCGTGACGGCGCACGGCCGTCCCACACACGGGCTCCCGTGGCTCCGGCCTGGACCGTCATCACCTCCAAATCCCGACCAAGCGAGTGACCCGAGCTTGAGGGCCGCCTGCGGTGGCCGCGGAGGTCTACTGGAAACAACCCGGCCCCCAGTCCAGCCCTGCCCGCAAGGGCCGCGCCGCCGCCCACCTCAGCGCGCACTGCACACCCGTCTCGTCTCCGTAGGCCGAGTACAGCAGCTCCACCTCGTCGCACTTCAAGTCGCCGAACACTGAGTTGTTGTGCGTGGACAGGGCAGTACTGGCACCGGACAGGAAGGTGACTGGGGGGGCGGGGCAGGGCGTCGTCAAGGCTGCGGGCACACGCGGGCCACGCCCCGCGACCCTGCGCCGCCACCGCCGCTGCGCCTCGCCACGCCCACGCCGCGTCCTCCGAGGACGGGGAGGTCAGGCAGGAGCCGCACAAGCCAGGGAGCCCAGCGTGAGGCCCACGCGTCCTCCCGCCCTTCGCGCAGGGTCCCCGCTGCAGGCAGTCTCGCGAGCCCTCCAACAGATGGAGCGTGACAGCTTGTTGGAGGAAACGTAAACCACACACACAGGCGGCTGCCACGTGCAGGCCCCGCCCCCCAGTGGCAGAGGCGGCACCTGCCCACCTGCCCGGTGGGCTCCTGATTCCCAGCACTTCCCGGGACCTGACCTGTAAGATGAGGTTCCAAACCAGGCCCGGACGTGGCGCCCACACGGTGAGCCGGGGCCCCTGGGGTGCTCACCTCTGCTCCTCCGCTCCTCCCTGAAGCCCAGCGCGGTGAAGCCGGGCAGCAGCTTGCTGGACAGCGCGCTCAGGTCCACCGGGTGCGTCTCCTCCTCTGCAAGGGCACCAGGGCCGTGAGCAGGTGACCCCGGAGCCCCCAGCCCCAGGCAGTGATGGGTGCACGCAGGAGGGCGGGCCCGGGGGCTCCCCGTGCCCATCTACAGCCGATCTACCAAGCTGGCTGCCTTTCTCTCGTCTCAGCTGCACCGTGATCTCACCTTAGTGCCCCAGCTCTCATGACGACAGGCCAGCGGTCTGCCCACCACAGGGCAACATAACCTTCCCAAACCCACAGTACCGCTCACCACCTCCGAGAGACCTCGGGCCACGTGTCACAAGAGCAACAGAGCAGCCTGAGGGCAATTCCTACGCTGAATTCGCCCTTCAAGTTGCTCACGTGACCTGAGCAGGACCCTTCAAATCCCCAATCTGAACCTCCCTCTCATGTTCTCTTGCTAAGTGTTGACCAGCTCGCCTGTTCTCTTCTAACGAGAACGTTATGATTCACTCCAACTGAAGGTCAAAAGCAGTGGCCAGCGCCTGTCCCCCTCATCCATCAGAGGACACCGAGTGACCCTGCTCATCTTGGCGGTGGCGGGGAAGCACCGAGGGGCACGCTGGGCCGTGAGAGCCGTCCCACATCCACGCAGGTGAGAACAAGGGGGGTGTTTCACCTGCTGTGTGTGTGTGACAAGCCTTTGAAATACTTTTCCAGAAGATGGAAAAGTGTAAAAGTACTTTAAAGACCACAGCCGTGGCCGTACAGGTTGGATGGACCCTCCCTTCAAGGAAGCTCCTGCCTCCTTCGAAAGCTTCCCTGATGCAGCTGCCAGGCAGGTCGTGTGGGGCAGACGCCTGCCTCGTTCTAGCCTCGAGGGCAGGCAGAGCTCAGTGCCCCGGTTCCAACAGAGGAGCCTCAGCTGGGCTGTGAAGCAAACCCAGCTCCCAGGGCCTTGCTGCAGCTTTGGGGAGCGCGACCCCAAGCGCTTGGGGCCCTTGGTCCGAAAGGTCTGACCAGCATCTCCGGCCCCACTGGACGGCCGCCCGCGGTCCACTGACCACATTTGCGTCCCGCTGTGTGGGAGACTGGACACGCCTTTATCTACACTTCACCACAGCGTCGTGACCAGGGAAAAGGGGCATCTCGGGCAGGCCGTGAGGTGCAAGGTCACCGAACGGGACAGAGGTGAGGGAAGCGCGTGTGAGCCGCTCACCGTCTGCGTCCGGCTCGGCCGTGTTGACCACGCTGTAGAGCAGGCTCCCGTCCCCGTTCTTCTTCAGGTAGCCCATCTGCAAGGAAGCACGCCTGAGCGCCCGCTCTCCGGATGGCCCCGGCCCCCTGGCCCAGGGCTCCACCGAGACACCAACAGAACAGAGGCCTCCGAGGGCGGCCTGAATCCTAAAAGGCCACGAAGTTACTCGTTTCCCTGTGAACAAAGGCCACGTGCACACGTGTGCGATCGCAGAACTTCTGGGACGGGCTCCAAACAGGAGCTTTGAAGACAGAGAGCGAACCCTAGAAACAGCCTTTTCCAGCAGTCAGAGGCCCGAGCACAGCGAGCTGGGTCGGGGCCTGGTCAAGGAGACCCAAGATCCACCTCTGACGCCCGTGGGAACTCATCTCCGTTTGAAAACCAGCCTGCGCGCAAGAGCAGCCCCTGCACAGGCTGTCGGGAGGGCCCAGGAAGGGGAGGCTGCCGTGTGGGTCCGTGTGTGCGAGGGGCCCAGCGTCCGAGCAGGGTGAGTAGGGCACGGGGTAGAGGGGGATGGAGAGGCGACGTAAGTCGGGTTTCTCACGGTGGAACTGCGAAACTGTAAGGGGGAAAAGCAAAGCAGACCCACGGAATTGAACGTTTCCGTGTGAAAACTCGGTGTTCAGTGAACGTAAACACGGACGTCAGTACAGGCTGTACGGACGGACGGGGCCTTCCTGGAAGCTTTGTCCACCAGGGCCCAGGTCTAGGTCTGGGATGCCGCTCTCCGCTAGGGAACCAGGGCTCCTTAGAGAAATGTTGACTCCAGGGCTGAAAGGCCACAGGAGTGCAGACAAGCGAGCTCAACAGAAAGAACTATCACGTGAGCCACACGGGCAACTTCAAACTTTCTAGAAGGCACGTTGGAAATAAAAAGAAACACGTGGCGTAAAATGTAACGTATTTCATATAACCCGACACATCCAAATTGTTACCACTTCAAACTTCTTTACGTAAAATGTAAATTCCAACGCATGTTTCCCAAACTTAGTACAAAAATACAAAGTAAAGCTGTAATACGTCTTTACACAGACTGCACGTTGAAATAGAATTTTAGACGTATCACGTCAAACTAACCACTAGGGTTAATCTCATCTGTGTCCTTGCTAACGCGACTACTAGGAGGTTTAAAGCCGCACGCGTGTGAGATTCACGCTATTTCTATCGGATGCACGGAGGGAGGACACCTTGTGTTTGAGAGAGAAGGTGCTCAGAGGAGGGCAGGGCAGAGCCCTCCGCACAGGCTCACACCTGGGTCACAGACGCGTGAGCACACAGGGGAAAGGATTCACCTACAGCGGAGAGTCCTGGCCGGCTTGGCCTCGGCCCGGGGACAGAGGTTAGCGCCCCTGCGGGCAGGCGGCCCGCACACAACCACACCCCTCCTGTCCTTGAGGTGCCCTTGGAGTCCCCCCCTGCCCTCCGGGAGACCGGCCAGCAGGCTACCACGGCCAGTGGGGACGAGGAGCTGACCCCTCCGGTGACAACAGCGCCGCCCGGACACCAGCGGGACTCCGACCACATGCTCATAATGACCGGCTAACCTCTCGCTCGTGACGGCCGTGCCACTGTCCTGGCAGAAACACAGCCATCCCGTTCGGGAGTGCTACCTTGCCACCGGGGACCAGCCGGTTGATCCTGTCCCGGGCCTCGTCGGCCGCGTGCTCCACCAAGGCCAGGACGTGCTCCTCCGCGGTGCTGTCGGTCAGGCTGCAGGCGTTTCCTTCCGGCTCGAACATGCAGCTATGAGGCAGAAACAGGCAGGAGTCAACGGGCCGCACGTGGGCACACTCACCCCTCATCCCCACAGTCCGTCCCTCATGCCACGCCAGGGCGCGGCACAGGGCAGCGCAGAGCGCACTGTAACTCCCTTCCTTCTACTTCCGAGGCTTCCGCTAAGACGAGAAAGTACAAGCCAAGCAGATGCTCCACGTTTCTTGTGTTTCAGCTACGTGTTTCGGTCACTTTAAGAGCAACAGGGGCCTCACGGGTTAGTGCCACTCGAGGCGCCAGTAAAAAAGTGACAATCCCACGCAGGGCTGGGGCGCTGGCAGTGAGCCTGGGCTGGAGAGCCCCCCAGGACCCAGGGCGCCTAAGACCGCAGAGGCAGAGGAAGAGCGGACTGCCAGCGCCCGAGGGAGGCGCCCCCCACCCCCTCCCAGTGGAAGGCTCTAGAAGCAGAGGCGCCGAGCCCCTGCAAGGAACTGTGGGGCTGGGGTGAGCCCTCCTGGGGCTCTCGAGCCTGCGGAAGGCCCTCGCTCAGGCCCAGGCTCACAGCAACCGGCGCGGGGAGCCCGCCCTCTCGCAGCTGTCTGCCCGAAGCAGCACACCCGCGCAGAGCCTGCAACGGGCAAGCCCAGGTTGCCAATGCGCGTCCTACGCAGGAGGGCATGTCCTGGGGGTGAGGGGTCAGCAAATATTCACACAGAGCATGAGTGTGGGAACAGCAGCGACTGGTCAGCAGTGGACACCGCAGAGCCAAACCACACCTGGAACAGAGTGTGTGTGTGGCCGGCCGGCTGGCGGGGGTCCGTCAGGGTGACAGTGACTCTCTTCCAGGACGAATCACTGTGCACTGGCACGCGGAGAGTGTGGGTCACAGAGCAGAGAGCCGCGCCCCTCACAACTGACCCCGGGGCTCGGGGTCTTCTGACACTCCCTGCACCCACCGCGGCCACCTCATTCCCAAGGTGGGCAGGGAAGAAGGGTCGCCTCCCTCTGAACACAGGGTCCAGGGCCTGTCCCAGCTGCCTTGAAAGCCCGGGGGCTACAAACATGGCCCTCGGCTTCCAAAGAGCAAACTCTCCCGCCAGCAACGCAGGCAGCCTGCCCATGGCAGCTGCACAGACCCGCGAGGCCCAGCTCGTCACCTGCTCCCCACAGAGCCCTGGCCCCCACGGCGGGCAGTCCTGTACCTGATGACTTCTCTACTCGGCCTTTTGGATTTCTTAGCAGTTTCTACTTGTACGGGCACAACTTCAGGAACAGGCTCCTCGACGGCTGTATCTTCGTTGCCCAAAAGAGCTGCCTGCTGAGAAAAATCCATGTCCTGCATAAACGACATGCTGCGCTTCAAAGCTAACAGCCGCTCCTAGAATCAGAAAGGACAGAGCAGCAGGGACTTTACCTCTCCCTCCGGCCAAGGCACCATGACGATGGGATGGGATGGGTGGCCACAGCCCCACCTGGCCTAACAGCTAAGCTGCCACGGGGTGCGGCACCAAAGGGCGTGCCAATTGGCCGGGAGTGCTCAGAGCTGGCGGGGATGCACCTCACCTATGGGCTGGTCAGGCCCAAGGCACTGGTCCTAGATGCGTGACGCATGCAGCCTGGCTCACGGGAGAGGTCGGGGAAGCCACCTGGGATGCCCGGGATGGCTGTCTGGATTCAGAGAGGCAACCACGTAAAACAAGCCCGCAACGCAGGCTGCGACCCAGTGAGACCAACAGATCCGGAACTCTGCACCAACCCTTCGCGAGACCCTGCAGCTGGGGCAGGAGCAGAGAGCAGAGAGCGCCTGCAGGAGAGGGGCGTGGGGAGGGCGGCTGGCTGGGGGGCTACCCTAGAGCAGAGGGTCCACGCCGTGGCCAGGGGCGGATGGATGGAAGCATGTCAGTCACTGTGAGCTTCTGTTTAGGCACAAGGATCGTGGAGGAGGACGCTCACAGCCGAGGCTCCTCGCTCGCTGTTAGAGGGTCCCTTACTTTGCTCATCATCTTAAAGCCCGCGTGGAGGATCTTCTTAGCTAACTTGTAGTACACGGTGTCCGGTCTGTTGTACGTCATTGCATTATCACACATCAGTTTGAAATCTGCCTGAAAAGAAAAAAGAATGCATCAAGTTTGAAACACCACAGATAACGACAAAGAGTTGAGGTTTCTATCAAGAGGCCGAAAGGGGCTGAAACAGAGTGGAAGACAACTTGGCTCTCTAATTCAAGGAGTAACCTTTGTTAATTTATATGAACTTTCACAGGTTATTTTCCACTATGGACTACTATTAAGATATTGAGCATATAGTTCCCTGTTCTATGTAGTAAATCCTGGTTGCCTGTCTGTTTTTTATATGTAATAGTCTGTAACTGTTAGTCCCAAAGTCCAAATTTAGGCTCCCCCCCCGTGCCTGTCCCCTTTGGTAACTGTAGTTTGTTTTCTATGCCTGTGAGTCTGCTGCTGTCTCGTACATAGATTGTTACATTTTTTACACTCCACAAGTGATGTCATGTAACATTTGTCTCTGACTCACTTCACTAAGTATGATCATCTCTAGGTTTACCCATGTTGCTGCCAATGGTAATATTTCATTCTTTTTTTATGGCTGAGTAATTAAAGAGTACTTTTTAAAAACTCTGAGAAATTTTCATAATTGTTCATCGGTCTTTACTTGTATGAAAAATATTCCAGTGAGAAGCTTGCCAAAGTGTGTAACTTCTTTCTGAACGTGACACACACATTTCACAGGAGTAAAATGCTGGTTCCCTCTGCTTCCTTCCTGACCCACCCTATTCCCTCTCTTTGGAAGGAACTCAGACATTAATAGGAACAAAAACCAACAACCAGTTCTTTTAAGCAAAAGCAGAGGGATTAACTGAGAGGTGGGCATGTCCTCTCTCTGGGATTTTTCCGTAGGATTTAAAATTCTGTCTACGGACAGTGACTCTAGTACGATTAGAAAAACATTTTCCCCTAAAATAAAGAAGAGCCTTAGTGAAAAACTTACAATAAAAGTAAATGCTTGGAAATATCAGCATTTTACCACCTAGCCAAATTCCTTAGGGTACACCTGTCACAGGTGAGTCAGACCTCAGAATGGACGACTGCTAACGCAGCATGTACCACCTGGAGTCCTTACCAAGTCACGGTGCCGGTGTCCCCAGGGCTGGGACCGAGGCCATAAAGTCCCTCTGTCACAAGGCCCAACTGTGACAGGCTCAGAACACTCTCTGGAGGACACGTCTTGGCTTTGTCACTGGGTGAGTGACCAAATTAGGGGCCTGCAGGTAGACAGGTCACCTCTAGGACATGGATTATTATTAACCACCTGCCCACAGGAGTCGTGCCTGACCTTCCTATGAAAACTTTCCTTTTCTCCCACCCTCCCTTTAGTCTGTTGTGCTGTTTCTGCAGGTCAGCAAACCCTTTCAGTAAGTAAGGTCTCCAGTAAATACAAACAGAAAAGCCAAGCTTTTCCGAAGTTAACGGAACCTAAGAAACCTAAAGCCTTTTTCTAAGTGACATTATTGTCAATGTTGTCAAGCATTTGTTTTGATCTTCCCCCAAACCTGAAAGCCAATAAGCAATTTTTCCCTTTCACAGCCAGTGCTGAGAAACAGGGAGTTAGGAACAGAGTCGTCAGGAGACATGAAGATTTGTTATCCTAAAAAATTTAAACTCCCGGTTACTAAGATAAGGAAAATTATGTTTCTAAAAATACCCATTCTGGGGCCAGGCCAAAATGAACACATCCTCGCTTGACCCAACATGTCCGTTTATGCAAAAACAGTAACTTAAAAAGAAACACGTCTACTAGCACGCAACATACAGGCCAGCTTCTAGACCAAAATACTGAGAAAAGTACAACCAGCCCCTATGCTGGCGAAACGTCAACCCAACGTAGAAACACCCACGAAAACTTGGAACTGGAAACAACCTAAGATGTACGCAGTGTCTACTGCACATGAAGACACATGGAGCCTCCTAACAATTCCTTCAGGAGCTGAAATGAATTTACCTTAAATTCCGTGACTGACTTGTATTCATTAGCTACAATTTTGTCTCTCATCGTGCCAAAATCCATCGGGTGTTTTATTATCATTGAGTATCCAGGAGCAATTGCATCCGTGACAGGAAAAGCAAAAAATCCATGAGGATCTTTTCTGAAAACACAAACACCTTTATTTAAACTGGAAAAACCCTGAAATCTAAATTTCTAAACAAAACCCCTCCCAGTTAAAAATTTGATACAATTAACCAGATTTTAAGATTTGTTTCTTAAAAATAACAAATAAAATTCATGCTCTTTAAAACTGTGGTATTTTGGATACACTGAAAATTCCAAAACTACCATCCCGGCTCCTGCCATGACTCTACATCAGGGCGTCTGACAACCGGTGCAGACTCAGAGGAGATGAAGGAGGTGTTCTCGAGCCCTCCCAGCTCTGCTCCCACATGGCAGTGCCCCACCGCCCCGACTGAGCGTTACCCAGTGAAGGTGAAGGGCCTGCTTTACAGGTGGCAGGGGTGAGGCAAGAACACCAGAAAGAGAAGACACCTCAGATGTCCCCTAGCACAAACCCTTTAGAAAAGCTCTTTACCTCTGGAGCTGGCGGAGGAAATGCTCTAGTAGTTGCTGAATAGGCGTGCTCTCATTTTCAGCTGACGATTTCAAAAGTAAAAAAATAAAATTGAACAAAAGGATTTTGGTATCACTTCACCAGAAAGCAAACTCCAATTTCGTAATACTTATTTATCTATTTCTTGTTCTACAATGTTTTGGGTTCAAATGAGAACTGGATATAAAGATAAGCAGGGGGCTTCCCTGGTGGCGCAATGGTTGAGAGTCCGCCTGCCGATGCAGGGGACACGGGTTCGTGCCCCGGTCTGGGAAGATCCCACATGCCGCGGAGCGGCTGCTCCCGTGAGCCATGGCCGCTGAGCCAGCGCTCCACGATGGGAGAGGCCACAACAGTGAGAGGCCCGCATATCACAAAAAAAAAAAAAAAAAAAAAAATAAGCAGATCCCGCAAAGCTCAGCAGGGTGAAAAAGGGCACCCACAACACTGGTCCCCTAAACCCCTCAGACTGCCAACACCCCTCTCAAACAGTGATGTAGAGCCATCGCTCATCACCCTGTCTCCAGCCCCCATCACTCCTGGGCCTGGGACATTCCACACAAGGTATGAAGCAGCAGACGAAGGCTCTGGACATAAAAGCTGACCCTGGATGCACCGATATCGTTGTACTTGATATCGTTTACGGGCCTAAACTTCTGGGCACGCCTCTGTTTATCTGTAAAATGGGGATAAAAATGAGCGTTCCTGTGAGGACTCCAATTGTTAACCACGTCTCTGGGCCCACAGCGTGAAAAACACGGTTTTCAGGGAATGTGAACGCAGATGTCGGTACAGGCTTCCTTCCGCAAGAGTATGTATTAAATGGTCCTCCCTAGCTTTGTCCCCCAAGGCCCACACCCAGCGCCCAGATCTGGCATTCTGAATGCTGTTCTCCACCAAGCAACCAGGGCTCCTTGGGGAAATGGCTCACTTCTGGGCTGAAGGGCAACACAAGTGCAGACCTGCGGGTCCCAAGAGCGACGCTCTTGAGAGTGATCAGGACAGGTCCAAGAGAGCATCGTCTGATCGTGAGTTTTTCAGGTACACCGGGGCAGGTGCTAAACGTATGATCTCCAACAGGCCGTTGGGCAGATTAAGCTAGCAAGTACTAGTAACCATAGTAACTTCAGGCGCGTTCATCGGAGGCACTGATGCTCTGTGCCTGACCTTCTCTGCTCCACAGCAGGCCCAAGGGCCCTGAGTCCTGCCTGTTCCCTACAGCAATGACTCCCGCAGCAGAGGGTGTTGCCAGGAAGCAGCAACCCCACACTGCAACACAGTACCTCCCCTGCCCCCACCCCGGCAACTCAAAGGTGGCCAGACCCCAAGCCAAGGAAGAAACACCTGCAGGACAAACCCGCCTCCAGTCCAGCACCTCCTGACAACCTGACAGCCTCTGAGGGAAGCGACCACGCACAAATCAGAGCGTCCCGAGCACTCCAGAAGCCTTCCTCTGCTGCAGCCAGCATAGCTCCCAGGGGGAATGATGTCCTGAATAACTGATACCAGCACTAGCCTCCTCCCGTCCACAATGAGCTTCTCATTAGCTCCTGGGCTTTAAAAAAAAAAGGCCAGCAGTGGTGGGCCAAGCCCTGCTCTAGGAGTTCAGAGAGGATGGCAAGAACTTTAGGTCCATCCAGCTACTCTGTGTGAGGCCCTGGGAGAGAAAATGCTGTTCCTTCCTTCCTATGCTTCTCCCAAGAGCTGAAGGGCGGATGCCAACCACTAGTTCACAGCGACAAGCTCCGAAGCTCCAGGACGTCTCTGAAAACGCCGCCACTTGCCTGGCTGTGTCCGGCACGCTCGGACAGGCCGGTCGGGGGGCGGCTCCACCTCCACCTTCTTCCCCGGATCAAAGTCGTCCGCCTCTCCCTCTGTGTCACAGTGTTCCTTTTCCCGCTTCCGCTTCTTCTCTTCCTGTGAGGCAGGGTCAAGGCAGCGAGAGCAATGAAGTGCTTGTTAACAGACCTCGCGTTCCTCAGGGAAAGCTGAGAGAGAAAAGCCCTCTTCCAGAGCCCCTTCTTACTCCAGGCCACCACCCTTCAAAGACCCGCCCCCCAGGGGCCAGACAAGAAAAGATGCGCAAAGAGCCAAAACCGAAGCAACCGACCTCTGCACGGCGCACCCTACACCCTACGAGAAACAGAACACTCGCTTCCGGAGGCCAGGAAGCCCTTGCTCCACCTGCCCCCCAGGGCTTTCGGCCGCCCTCGCTCACCTTTCGCTTCCTTCTTTCTTCATCGTCAAGGTGCTTCTCCTTCTCCGACTTTTTCTTTTTCTTTTTCTTCTTCTCCTTGTGCCTCTCTCGCTCGTGGTCTGACCTGTCATCGTAGTAACTGGAGTCGTGGCCGGACCCTGAGAGCTCTGTCACTTCACTTCCTCCAACCTTGAGCACCAGCTTCAGGGGCTTCTCCAAAGGCTTGTCTGCATAGTCTGTGGACACGCAGGCGACCTTTACCGTGTGTGCTCAGGGCGCTCAGAGGCGCATACTGCTGCCCTGTCGGCAGCGTGGTGGGCCCAGGGTGGGGTGTCACGGGGAGGACACAGAGGCCCAGGAAGGTGGGGGGATCGGCTAAGCTCAGGTGGACAGCAGGGGAATGCCAAAACCAACAGCGAAAGATGCTGCTGGGGGCAAAGACAGGTGGGGTGCTCCCTCCCTCTCGCCCACAGACATTCTCAGGGGGGCTGCAGGGAGATCTCTGGGTCACTGTCAGGGGGGGAGAAGCCAGGCCACGCCTGGGGCCCAGGCGCACAATTCTCTACCCCCAGGTCCTGGCCCGTGGTCACCCCCTTCCTGTCCTGCAGCAGTCCCCGTGCGGCGTCCCTGACACCGGGACCAGGGGCTGCCGGACCAGGGCACAGGCGGGAAAGGCGGGAGAAGACCTCGGGAAACACGGACGAAGAACCACAGAGGTGCTCAGCGCTTCTCTCCAGGATGCGGCCAGAGCTAGACGGACGCTTGAGAGGCGCGGCCCCGAGACCCCGCCGGCGCGCCCCGGACCCCCGCTCTCGTCCCCGGGATCCCCGCCGCCTCGAACGCCCGCCCGTCCGCCCTCCCGGCGTCACAAAGCGCGTCCGCCGCCTCACCCTCGTACGACGAGCGCCACTCGGCCTTATGCTTCTTGTGCTTCTTGCCCATGGCGACGGCGCCGAGGGCAGCAGCGAGTCCTGCCGCACCGTGGCCGCCGACCCCCGGCCCTGGTTCTCCGCCCGCCTCGCCGCGGAGCTTGCGGGATCGCGCCGGAAGCGGGCGCCGAGACCGGAAGTGACCCGCCCGCCGGCGCCGGCGCTTCCGGGTCAGGGGGCGGGACGCTGCGCGCGGCAAGTTCGAAGCGCGGGCGCGGCGGAGGGCTGAGGCTGCGGCGGTGGCGGCGGCGCGAGGCGAGTGGCGGCGGCGGCCGCGGTCCGGTCCGGTCCTCTCGGCTCTCGGCGGCGGCGCCATGGACGAGGCCGTGGGCGACCTGAAGCAGGCGCTGCCCTGCGTGGCCGAGGCGCCGACCGTCCATGTGGAGGTCCACCAGCGGAGCGGCAGGTGAGCCGGGCCCCGAGCCGACCGCGGCGCAACCCAGACCTGACAACACCCGACCTCGACCCGCCCCCCACGAGCCTGACCCCGACCAGATCCCGCCCTGACAGGAGCCGACTCCGATCCCGAGGCGGACTCCGGCCCGGCCTCGGCTGAGCCAGGGAACGCCGGGCTCTGGAACTGCCGGTCGCAGGAGCTCCGAGTCTGGGGAAACGGCCCTGACCCCGCACCCTCGCCCGCAGTCCCGATCCCCGGCGAACCCTGTCTGGCCTAGGTGGGCGGGGAGGGGCCGGGGCGCCGGGGGTGCCGGTGGCGGGTGACGGGCCCCGGCGGGCGGCGGCGGGGGGCGGGCTCTAGGGGCAGCCGAAGGGCCTGCGAGGTCTGGGAAGCAGCGGGCAGGGGGCTGAAGGGGGACCGCAGCTCACGGCCTCGTCGCCCGCCGCCGCAGCTGTGGGGCTTCCAGTCTCCGCTAATCACAGCCCTGTCACTGCGGCTGCGCTTTGCGGGCTTCACGTTGGGCCTCGCGTTATCCAGCACAGCTCCAGCGTAGTGACTGACCTCCAGGAGCCCAGGGTGGCACCGACTCTTGCCGTCGCCCCTTCTTCGAATGGGGACCTGGGGCACAGAGCCCTCGGGCGGCTTCCCCAGGTCACGAGGAGTCCGCGCAGGTCTGCTCCCCAGGCAGGCCCTCCCGTCTGCCCTCTTCACTGCACTTTGCCCTGTTCCGTCTGTTTTTTTTCTCTTTCTAAAATCACTTATTGTTAAAATGTTGGTTTCTAACTCAGACCTGACTTACATATTTTGTTTTCCTAGCACTGCAAAAAGAGAAGATCTAAAGCTGAGTGTCAGGAAGCTCCTCACCAGGCATAACATTGTGTTTGGCGATTACACGTGGACTGAGTTTGATGAGCCTTTTCTGGCCAGAAACGTGCAGTCTGTGTCCATTGTTGACACGGAATTACAGGCTAAAGGTCCACAGGTAACCTACTGCTTCTCGGCGGCCCCATGAACGTGCACGTGCTGTTTTGAGAGTGTGTTGTGTAGATTTATTTGATGTTTCCTTCTCGTCGCAGCCCATTGATTTGAGCATGTGCACTATTGCACTTCACATCTTCCAGCTGAATGAAGATGGCCCCAGCAGTGAAAATTTGGAGGAAGAGACAGAAAATATAGTTGCGGCAAACCATTGGGTGCTGCCTGCAGGTACCCGTGGCAGTAACAGTAGGCAGAGCATGCCAAGAATGGGAGGTCGGAGGATGGTACACGCCTTGGGCTTATCAAGGAGATTTTGTCCGCTGTGTAGAATTTTAGAATGTTGTATCTGTTATGAAATAGAAAGTATATCACGACAGAGAAAGGTAGAAACTTCCAGTATGAACCTATTTGGATGGATCCGTCAAAGACAGTGCTAACTGAGAATTACACCGGTGCTCTGCTTTCCTGCCCAGTTGGTCAGTCTTGCTGGACCACTGCTTTCTCCTGCCTTCTCGATGCTCCTCCGTGAACTTTGCCAATGGGGTCTAGCAGGCAGACTCCTGCTTCTAATCCGGGTTAGGCTTGATGTCCTAACGACTGGAATAGACCCACCGCTCGGCCCTGCTGGAATGTCGGCTTGTGGGGAGAGTGGTGGGTTCAGGGTCTTTGCTTGTGTCCGAGCATAGGTCCACAGAGACAGGTGTGCAGAATAGTACGACAAAGAGGTTAATTATCTGTCCAAAGCCACGTGCGACTGCCACTTATTCAACATCTTTAATTTTAAGAACAATTTTAAAAGTTTAGCTTCCCTGTAACCAGAATTTTAGCTTACCGCGTGTGGAGCAGTGGAGGGCATCAGTGGCTCAGGGCAGACCTAACCAGTAGGTGCGAGGCTTCCTTTCCTAAAATTAGGTTTTTGTTTTATTCTCTCAGCTGAATTCCATGGGCTTTGGGACAGCCTGGTGTATGATGTGGAAATCAAATCTCACGTAAGTTGTGCATTTTTCCCAAAAGACCCCATTATTTGAAGTAGAATCATTATTGTGTCACTCTCTAGCACTCCTTAACTCAGATGGGCTTTGTGAACACTGCTTACCAGCAGCTCATGTCCTGGATTTCTGTCCTGTGGGATTGCTCCTGAGTGGAGCTGCCCTCCGGGGAGTTCCCCTTGGGAGAAGGGGGAGCGTTGGGAGGGTGAAGACCACTTGCACTGGGTCACACGCTTGGTGTGACCAAGCACGTGCACATGGTCACTCCCGTGGGCTGGGGAGGCAGTGCTGAGGGGCAGACCGAGCAGGTGGGCAGGTCTGAACCCCCTTCAAGGGGAAGAGTCCTGCACACTGGGGGGGCACTAGGGGTCTGTCCCCACCACCCCTCATCACCCCAGGCTCCTCTAGCCACAGTGGACCGCAGAGCCCTGGCTGTTCTTTCAGTGAATGTGCCGTGCGCTGGTCCACTGCTGTGTCCCAGAGGAAGGAGCTCACTCTTACTTGGTGTGTCCCTCAGTAGTTTTGTGTGTCGTTGGCATTTTAAATAAAAGTGATCTTTGCGTTCATCGTTTATCTTGAAAGCAGTAACAGCCAGCGCTTGTCCTCTCATGTCTCAAGTTACCGTCCGGGTTGAAAGCCTGCAGGTGTGTGGCAGGTGTCTGGCCGTGGCGGTCTCTGAAGACTCCCGTCGCTCTACGCGCTTAGGGCACGTTCAGCGGAACCTTTGCCTTGCTGGGGACTTTATCTGTACTTTTCCTTTCTCCACGCAGCTCCTTGACTACGTGATGACAACTTTACTGTTTTCAGACAAGAATGTCGACAGCACCCTCATCACCTGGAACCGGGTGGTGCTGCTTCACGGTAAAGCATCACAGCTTCTGTTTGTGTGACGAGATCAACTGTGCGAAATCAGCTTTTGCTTGTGGCTTTGTCCTTCTGCGAGGAGTTGCAGCTCCTTTTTTCTGGGGGGGCCAGAGTTGTCCTAGAATATCCTCCTCTGTGAAGCCAGTCGGCCTCACACTATCTGGGCTTTGGTTACTTGACCTTTCATTTGGCAGCCACCTGATTATGCCTTGTGGCTTTTTCTACTGTTATTAAACTTTTCAAGTAACTGCCTTATTTTCCGATTGATCGTGGACTCCTTAGGATAGCAGTTGCCTCGTATTTCTTCATAGTGTCCTTAGAGCTTCCCTTGATGGCTAATGGACTGCAAAAGCCACTCTTTACAGGACTCTGCCTAGTTCTTGGAGGAGAATACTGGGTTTCCTTTCTTAATGTTCCCGGAGAGAAAACAATCGAGAGAAAACCCCAATTAGAGTGAAGTAGGAGCTATAGTTAGAAGGGTGATTAGCCTCCTTATGCAATAAAGATTGTAGGCTTGTGTACAACTTTAAGAAGACACAGTCTTTTAAACAGCATGTGTTCTGGCAGATTGGCTTAAAGCCAGGCTCAGTGGAGGCAATCCAGAGGCATTTTAATTAGTGCAGTACCTTACTTGCATTTAGAATTGGTTGTATGTTTACTCTCAAACCATGGAAAATGCAGAAAATCAGAGTTGACCATGTCAGCATTTTCTATTGGATGGGTTCATGCTTCCACATCAGTTCCCTCAGAGTTCCTGCAAAACGCTGTGCTGAGGGACACACACCCAGGGCACAAGCCCTCGCCTTACGGCTCTCCCTGTGTAGCGTGGGGTTCGGGCCCACGTCCAGGTACCTGGAGTGGAAGATGGTGGTTCCGTGGCTTCAGAAAGAGCAAACGTCAGTGCCTTCAGAAGGGTCCTGACGGCTACCAGGAAAGGTGTGTTTGACTTTTGAAAGGTGGATTTTCATAGTCAATGGATTTCATAGAGGATGTGTGGGGACGAGGAGGATGTCAGTGAAGATGTGGACAAAGGAACGTGGAGCGGACTGTGGGCCAGGAGGCATACTTGGTGATGTTTTCTAGCATTTACACCGCTAGGAGATTGCTTTGTAAGTTCATAAGCGGTACTTGTGGTAATAACATTCGTAGCATTGAAGTCTGTTCGTTATCTTATATCCTGTGGATAATGCAACTCCTGTTGTTTAAGAAATTTCTTATAGCACTAACTTAAAAACATATTTGCTTGCATTTTGTTACAGGTCCTCCAGGAACTGGAAAAACATCCCTGTGTAAAGCTTTAGCGCAGAAATTGACCATCAGACTCTCAAGCAGGTAACTTCGGCAGTTTGAGAGAGGAGAGCCACAGAAGTGGGTTTGCTGGGTTTTCAGTTATAACAACGGAAACTGTTTTTATTTTTAAGTCATTCTACATGAATAGTAGGTCTCTATCTTCCAGTGTAAATTAATGAATTCCTCTGCACTCAGCGTTGTCTTGAGTCATGATTCCCGTCTTTTTAAACGTGTTGAGACTTGCTTTGTGACCAGCACGTGGTCTCTCCTGGTGACTGTCCCAGCACGTGCACTCAGAACGTGTTTCTGCTCTTGTTGGGTCGACTGTTAGCTCAGGATGCTTGTGTCCGTGCTGGTCGTCTGTCTGCTGTTCTGTCGCTTCCTGGGAGGACTGTCCAAGCCTAGCGCTGGGTGTGTCTTCCTTGAGTTTTGTCAGCTTTGGGGTTTATAGTTGTATCACATGTAGGGAATACCTGGCTGTTATCTTTCCAACTAATCCCCTGCTCTCTGCGTTTGTTTACACGTTACACTGCCTGATACTGTCCCACAGGCCACTGATTGCTCTTATGTGTTTTTCAGGCTTTAAAAATTTTCTGTCTGTGTTTCATTTCGAT